ATATATATATATATATATATATATATATATATATATATATATATATATATATATATATATATATATACACACATATATACACACACACACATACATATATACTGTATATACAGTATATATATGACCTCAGCCTATTATTTAAATAAAAATACCGTAGTTAAATATAAAAATATAAGTAAAAATAAAGATCTGAACAAAGTGAAATTTGATTTTAATAAATTGTAAATTCTAAAATAGATGAACTGAAACTATTCGACAGGCCTCACACACCACCATTCAACTGGCTTCTTATGCCACCATTTAACTGACCTCTTGTACTACCATTGACCTGGTCATTCAATCACAATTTTTGTCACTTGCAGCATCCTTCCTCTTATAATTTCACACACCATAATTTTCATCACTCGAGCCATCATTCTGATCCCTAATATCTTTAATGCCATTCAACCATTATTTTCACAACTAATACCATTATTTTAACCCCCCCTCATGCTACCTACCTACCTTGTGGCTACCTTGTGGAGGTTACAGGGATCAACAGCCCTGTGACCTGGTCTCTGACCAGATCAGACTCCGGTTGGTCGGAGACCAACCATTCTTCTAGTTTTAGTAGAATCATAACATGCATTATTCTGCCAATTTAAACCATCATCATTCAATAATTCTGGACAATTAAACCATCTTAAAAAATATTTATGGCTGCCAAAACCATATTATTCTGGTCACGTCACAGTCATTTTTCTGACATCTCATTTATCTCTCTGAACACTCGCACCATTTACTAACCATTCACATCATCAATCTAACTGGTCTTCCACACCAACATTCTGGTGCCTTCTTCCATTAATACAAGTTACAGTTAACTCTTGATTGCTCATTTGTGGGGCTGATTGCCTACCCTAGCTGATCTCAGCCTCACCATCATTCTGCTAGTCCACATCACTTGTTTACTCTCTCACACCATCATTTTGACCAAATATGCTATCTATCATATCAATAGTGTGCATGTGTCAACATGCTTTATAGACACTTGAAAAATATTAGATATATTTATTGAATGTTCAAGACTGGACAGATAGGTTGAGTCATCAAAGTCACGTCGTACATAAGATGATTTGCCAATGGATTTGAAACCTACCTAAACTAACCTACAGTATCTCTAGCCAACCTAACTTAACCCAAATTAACCTAGCCTAACCCAATCGAAATGATCATACCCTAATTGAATCGTCTCAAATTTAATAGGCAATATTAACTAGTAGAATGTATGTTTATAACAATATTGCATAAATTGCCAGAAAATATTTAAGACATATTTACAAAACATTGTCAAAAAGTTAAATAAACTCAAAGACAGTGATTTCGTTATGTAGATTTTTTTCTGATCACTATTCTTTACTTTGCGCTCGCCACTTTAATATTCTGATGAATATATATTTAATCTTATTTTATATTGATAATATTCATCTTATGAACCTTAATATGTTTATATCTTCAGAAATTAGCAATCATGCATTATATTTTCAAATATCTATCATTAAAGCATATATTTTGGAAGCAGAGATGTGTTTTATCTACCCAAATAAAGCACGAATAGCAAGAACATATATTACAATAAAATTTCCCCATGTGTTACACACATAATAAAATAAACACTTCACTTCTAGTAAAGTGAAGTGTTTAAAAATAACAGGAAATAACATGAAATTCTATTTATCGCATTATTTTGTTAGTCTTTTCTTCCTTATTACGACATACACAACTAGAAAGTGCAGACCATATTAGGGAACTTGCTTAACTGTCTTAAGTGAACAGTGTATCAAACTAGAAGAATAATATTTGTCAATTCCTGAAATTTACATTACCCTGCAGGTGCAAAATTGGGGAATCTTTTAAGAACAGAATTTATATTTGACAAATAGTATTTTCCTAACTCAAACAATGTGGGGTTTATTATGCTACACATATTTCTAATGGCTCTTAGATGTTGCCGAAACACCTGGCCAAAACGCTATGCATGTTACGTGGCTAAACAAGAATGTAAAAAAACATCAATGCTATGTACAGTACTCTTAAACAACACTCATTAGTTCATTTATTATGCACCCCATACCCATCTTGTGGGCGGTAGTGGAAAGGGTTACAGAGGCACATAATGGGACACACAGATTCTACAACTCTGCATATGGTGGTTAATGGTATGCAGCGGTTTGTAGAATTACCCAAATCTACCCAAATTTGTATGTAGGGCAGTGACGGGACTAAGCTGTACGTGCCCTGCCAGTTCAAATTTGGAGAAGATAGTGAGAGTTTATTCCCATGATGGTGAAATATAGCAGTCAGCAGGAGGGGGGGGGGGGGTCAAAGCTCATAAGCATGGTTGTAGTCTATATATAAGCATGGTTGTAGTCTATATATAAGGGGATTATTAGAATTAGTCCAGTATCGGCTGTCAGCAGCTGGGGGCAGGGTTTAGACATAGCTCATATGCGTCCATGTATAATAATAATAATAATTTTTATTTAGGTAAGGTACATACATAAAGAGATTTTACAAAGTTTGTTGGCTTTATAGATACCATATGTATGTATGTAGCCATATGTAGATCAACCATATGTAGCCATATGGTTGATCAGGTGATCACAGGTAAATTCAGGTAAATGTTTATTGTTTTTTATTAATTTATTTAGACAAGTTGTTACATTCTTGTACAACCATTAGCACGAATAGCGTTTCGGGCAGGTCCTTAATCCTATGTTCCCTGGAATACGACCCAACAAATGGTTTAACAACCCATTTTACTGTTGGGTGAACAAAGGCGGCGCCCAGTGAATCCTCCCTGGGATACGAACCCAGGACAAAGCGAGTGTCTTACCCACGACGCCACGTGGACTGCCAAGTGTTTGTCAGTCTTCTTCTCTTCTTCTTCATCATCTTGTCTTCACCATTTAAAAACAAACCAATAATCTTGAGTCTCGTTTGAGGAGACGAGCGCAGATCCGGAGTTGTTCTTCAGCGACACTATGACGAGTAACTAGGGTTGATTAAGTGTTATCTGAGTTTACTTGAGTTTACCAGGGAACACTATAGTGGCCTCGGCGGGGGACAGGAAGTCGCCGGCTTGTCGAAGGTCCTTCATTTGCCTTGATGATCTTTTACAATTTTACAATTTTTTATTTATTTAGGTAAGGTACATACATACAATAAATATTTACAAGGATTGTTTAACTTATAGGTATAGCTAGTACATACAATGCCTATAAAGCCACTATTACGCAAAGCGTTTCGGGCATGATAAACTTAAATGACAAGCTTAATACAGCTGTACTTTAAAAGTTAACAGAGTTTATCTGTGCTATGTTACCTTCTATCAGTTTAATTATTGCTGTAAATACTAAAATATGATTTTTTTTTACTGTTTATTTAATTAATACGGAAATAGAAGTAAAGTTATGATGTTATGAGATGTTACGGTCGCAATTATTGTTAAGTAAGCATTGCACCTTTTTAAATATGGCTATTCCGTTTTGACGGCCACTATTTCCTGTTTTCTTTGAACATTTCCTACTGGTTTAGGGTTGTTAGGGGTGTTTTGACCTCTGGGGTCACACAGTTGGTCAGGGCGTCCACTAACAAGCCCCCAACGCAAGCCAGTTCATGTAATCACTATTAAAAGAACTATAAATTTGCATACTTTACGTCGCTCTTTAGTTGAATGTGAAAATTTTAAGAAATTCATAGATCATTCTATTGCAAATGTTCAATAAATGTGTAAATCATTATTAAAAGAAGTAAGTAATTATCAAAGAAGGCACCAAGCCGGAAAGACTATATGTAGCACCAATGTATATTTCATCAAAATGATGTACTATCAGAAATTCTGCCTAAATATCCAAAGTTTGATTATATTGTAGGTAGTTCATGCCTCTTTATTTCATTCAAAATGATCTGCTACCAGAAATTTTAGTCAAATATTCCCAGTTTGGTAACTGTAGGTAGTAACTAAGTGATTGTAACCTATCTACCGCTGCCCACTGGATGGGGGGCGGTGTGCAGGACAAACATATCAATTGTGACACTAGCTCTCCACATATGTCAGTTGCTTAATTTAGAAACTGGTCGATCTCGAACCCATTTATGATGTGACGACTTAAGCTGAATTTTGTAACTAGCTCTTCAAGATTGTAACTTGCTTAGCTAAGTGAATTGTGGGGTTCAGTCCCTGAGCCCATTATGTGCCTCTGTAACCCTTTCCACTACCACCCACAAGATGGGTATGGGGTGCATAATAAATGAGTTACTGGTCAGATTGTTACTTGGTAACACCAGTTACTAGTCAGATTGTCACTTGGTAACACCAATAGCCACAGTATTCCCTGGTAAAATCAGTTGCTAGATATATTGTTCTTGTTTTAATTTCCTTGTTAGCCTCATTATAACACCAGCTAATTAATGAATTAACCAAAAAGTTGTTAATTAATTAATTTCTTTATACTTTATTTAATTTTCGTTTACATTTTATTCATAATTTAGATGAATATCAGTACCTATGTAAAATTAAACCGAACTCTTCTCATTCAACATTCAGAAAGAAAAAGCAACAATTTTATCAGCAATTGTATTCTCCCTGCCCTTGTGTGGCAATGCACAATGGAAAGTTGTTTTCACATATCCATACATTAAAACATTGATTGTAACCATGATATATATGTGCTTCAGCCTACTGTTTAGACCTATTGTCTTATGTATGACCCTATGTCCTGCGTGACAGTGAATACCAGCATTATCCTCACTTTAATAAGACTTTATCAAAATCTCAGATTAGGCAAAATTGTAATTAATTTTGTCAATAAAGATGTTAATAATAATAATAATAATGTGTTCTCGTCATCGTCGGGGCTTTTATAACGACCAATGAAATCGCCCAATGAGATAGCACATGAAGCTAGCTTGTTTGTGATTGGCTGAGACGCAGTTGGTGGGCAATAACAGATGAGTAAGTGATAAGAGAGCCAGCCACCAGTTGACGCTTGTTAGTGGTGGTGTGAAGACGGTGCTCGGCTGCCAAGGTCTATACTTAATGGTAATGTGGTGTTAGTTTGTAAAGTTCTTTCATGGCGGGTGAACCCAATGGACTTTGGGGGGATGATGTTCCCTGCTTATGTAAATATATAATTATAAGTACTTTTTCCCCTTCCCCCCAATAAAAGCTTAAAATTTCACCTACATCGAAAGGGAAAAGGAGGAACGAGCATCAACTCAACCCTCTTGAGATGGAGTGAATGATCCCGCATGATTTCTTGGCTCTTTGTAATTGATTCACTGCCTTGCCCTTGACGGTCTAACCCGTACACTGCTCATACCGCCTTCACACGTTGTTCAACACTTGGTCAAACACATATATACCTTACTGAAGGGGTGTGGTACTTTAATGAAGTCACCTACACCTGGTTGGAGTCTGGCACAGTTTTGTTAAAGGCTCACTGTTGAGTTTAAGAGCACATTGTTTTAAATTAAAATGCAGCAAGATCAAGCTACGTCACTCCTTGTTCAAGACACAACACATTGTTCAAATCGCCAGAGCTTACCCGAGCTAAAACTCTCCTAGTTAAAGTAGTAACTGTCAATGTTGAACTTTATATAAAGGATTACCAAGAAATTCAAACATCAACAAACCATTATAATAAAGCTAGGCTGTTTATGAAAATCTTGGGGTGGTATTTACCTATCAGTCTCTACGAGAGAGTGAAGTCTAGTTCTTTATACCGGCCTAGACTATATTGGTCTAGCTCAACCGGCCTAATTAAAGTTTAACTTCTGACGTTCAAATACGTTGTCGAAGTTGTCCTTAGATGTGTGGATGGAGGCGACTTCCACAATTGTAAGATTAGAGAATTTTTTTTTTAATGTATACACAGAATATTGCACTGAATTATATAATTTAGTAAGTTGCTCTCTGTGTGTGTGTACTACTCGGTTATGAAAAATTATTTTGCCGTTTACCGCTGCATGACAGAATCGCCTGGTCAAAATTTGATTTCACCTGATGCTTCTATTCACCTAGCAGCAAATGGGTACCCAGGAGTTAATCATCTCTTATGGGCTGCATTAGTAGTAGGCCAAGAGGAGAAAGGAAGACTTCGATAAGACTAGCATTATATTCCCGACTATATGAAATAATATCCATATTAAGATTTTTAGGCTATAAGCATAAAACGTCAACATTCTATATCGTATAATGCTTATAATAAATTGTGGGGCAAACTGGAAAACACCTTGACCAGATAATGCAAGCACTTTTTTATTAAACAATTGTATACAGTGTATTTTAAATATTAGTCATGGACAATAAATTGGTGTTATTAGGTGAATTTTCGATAAATATAAAGTTTTACACGCTGCGAAGCCAATGTCAGGTCAGATTTGGGAGGTCGTGTCATCTGGTAATTGTTTATGGTGCCTTATCTCAGTGGCCTTGTATGGATATACTTTCACCTTAATTCTTTGTATACCTGGATACAGGAAAGTGTAAAATATCTTTCCAACTATAACCAGTCTTTCAAAATATAACCAGTTTAAGTTAAAAGCGAAGCTATACCTAATAAATTCCCTGTAACCTACCTTACCCTTCTATTGTCAACCAATGTCTGTTTTTTTCTTTAAAGAGCGCTGTTTGTCGACATAATTGTATTTGTGCTGCTTTTTCATCTATGTTTTCATTTCTTGTTTTCATTCTACTCATTATGCTCAATTAGTATTAAGCTTGTCATTTAAGTTTATCATGCCCGAAACGCTTTGCGTAATAGTGGCTTTAGGCATTGTATGTACTAGCTATACCTATAAGTTAAACAATCCTTGTAAATATTTATTGTATGTATGTACCTTACCTAAATAAAATTGTATTGTTGTTGTATTGTATTGTATCTACCGTTTCTCCCTTTACTCCTGTTCCACAGTGCTACAGTTCAAGTATGTTAATTGAGACGAGAAAAACAAAATACATCTCAAAAGAGATAGAGTAGCTTAGGCTCTTTCTATCCTCACAGTGCTCGCAGCAGGAAGGAAGCAGGTTGTGGCCACTCCACCTGCTTCCTACCTCCTGTGACACCTGTTTACATTGTCCACACAGCAGGACACTTTACAGTGTGATTTGTTAACCTTTCAGGCGTGTCGGTGGGTATTTGTATATGTGTTCATGCGCTATTTATAAATATGTAAGCTTGTTTATGTCTTCAGCGGAGCTCGACTCAAGATGGCTTGCCAAGGATCTCCTGCAGACCTCGGAAGTGGTTGTTGGTTCTGCTGGCCTTGATATTCCTTTCTCCTGCTGGAGGTAAGTTGAGTGCAGGAGCAATTGGGTATGTCTGAACGATTTGTAGTTTCCCTGGAATATAATTGACGAAGAAAAAGGTAAGCAATAGCCAGTTCTGTTTAAACTGTATAGTCATTCGCACAGTCTGTTTATGGTGATTGGTTATGCTATTCATATTTACGTGTTGCTTGAGTTTCTTTACTTATTAGATGCTGAAAAGTTATCAACAGCTCATTGGCAGAGGCAATAATAATTAATGGAACAACCTTGATGCCTGATTTGTTGGGCAGACATAAAAATATAAAAATTAGTGGTTGTAAATTAAAATTGTAAAGTATCCTTCGTGTCTTACAAGCAGGCACGGTTTTTGTGTAGTTAATTTTTATAAGAAGTGATTCATATTGAACATTGTTTCTCTGGCATGTTAACACATGATATTGGACTTCAAGCCAGGTATATAAACTAATTAGTTTCAGAGTATGTGGATGAAAATATAGATTGTTCAGTGAACTCGGGGCAACAGTTATCATTCCAAACAGTGATTAGATAATACCGGGTAATGTTTTGGGAGTTTCTCTCCGGACTGACTTAAAGCGTGTGTGGGTGTAATGTTTTAGTTTAGTTTACCTCGCTAATAATAGTTAGTTCATTTATTATGCACCCTATACCCATCTTGTGGGCAATGGAAAGGGTTGCAGAGGCACATAATAGGCTCAGGGACTGAATCCCACAATTCATTTAGCTAAACAAGTTACAATCTTGATAAGCTAGTTACAAAATTCAATGCATATCGTCACATCAACAATGGGTTCGAGATCGACCACAAGTACAGTTTCTAAATTAAGCAACTGACATATGTGGAGAGCTATTGTCACAATTGATATGTTTGTCCTGCACACCGCCCCCCATCCAGTGGGCAGCTGTGGATAGGTTACAACCACTTAGTTACTACCTACAGTTACCAAACTGGGGATATTTGGCTAAGATTTCTGGTAGCAGATCATTTTGAATGAAATATTTATGCATTAAGTGTGCGGTACTTGTGTAACGTTTAACGCAGGGAAATATTCGGCATAAATATCTCAAACATCGTAGGTAATATGTCTGTATAGAAAGGAAGAGAATGAAGGTAATACTATTTTTTTCTCAAAGGGAGCCTCGTGGACGATTCGCGCCCGTGGGAGTATCACCTGAAGGATGTAGTACCCAGCAGCAGCCCTGAAGAACAGACGAAAGCAGTGGAGGGACTCTTGCAGCGTTTACTGCAGGAGCGAGCCAAGGACTTCACCCTGAGCGTCGACCCCAGCCTTGGCCCTGCAGGGAAGGATACGTTTGTGGTATGTTAAGTGGGCCGTGAAGGGCAGCTGGTGAGCGCTTAAAGGAGTAATATTGGGTCGAGGGAGGGGGAGGAGGGGACATTGGTGTTGATGGCTTGTGTATGTGCCCTCAGTTGGAGTGCTTATGGGTATTTTGGGGTTATAGGCTTTGACTTAATTGTGATGTTTGTGGGTAGTCTGTGGAACAAAGATGGTTGTTGTAATTTACTTAATATCCTAGACCTCTTGTGGTCATTCCTCGAGATATATATATATATATATATATATATATATATATATATATATATATATATATATATATATATATATATATATATATATATATATAATATATATATAAATGTGTGTAAATCACGAAAGTTAACATGTGGTGAAAAATGTGACAGTCAGACCACGGAGGAAGAATTGAAACAGGAATTTCCCAAAGTACTTTCGTATTTAATAATACATCTTGAGAAGGGTAATTCTTGTCTTAATCCATCCCTCGTGGTCTGACATTGTCATAATATACAATGTGTGTGTGCAACAGTTTTGTTCTTTTGTTATGAATGTCATGTCATTTTGATACTCATTTTCTCACAATAAGTAATCATTGAGTACTTGTTGCTCAAAATGTTCACTAGCTTGTGAACATTTTATCTGGCGTATTGTGAACATTTTATCTGGCATACAGACACAATGCCCTACTGACACGTATGGTTGATGCCTGTAGGGGGGAGGGGGGCAGAAATAGCCTAAGCTACTCTACCCTTTTAAGATGTATTTTATTGTCTGAACAAACGTATTTGAATGCCTGTAGGTGAGGTCACCAGGTGCCAACACCAGCGTGGAGGTGACTGGAAGCAGTGGTGTGGCGGCGGCGTGGGGCATCCTACACTACCTCAAGTACTACTGTAAGGCCCACGTCTCTTGGGAAGCCGACCAACTCAACCTGCCCGACGTGTTGCCACCGGCCACCATCAACATCACTTCTAATGACAAGTGTGTTCCCGCCTAGATGGGCCTGAAGGGTGAAGCTTGAGCTCTCAAGCCTCGCCTTTGTTGTCTAGTGCAATTACTTAATTCCATATTTGGTCGTGTTAACTTTAAAAGTTATATATAGACTTAGGGGGGGTACCACCTCTGGTGCAATTATAGGGACCCACAGCTTCAGAGAAGGGAACACAGAGCATTCAGGGAAAAACTTGCCATTTAACTCTGAATACGTAAGTGTTCGCTTCTCCTACCACCCCCCTTTTTTATGGTGTACACTTTACTATGCAAGGTTATACAGTTACATATCTGATTTTATACAAAAAATTAACATTAAGAGGACAAAAAAAAGTTCGCTTCCTAGAGGCTGTAGATTTCCTCGAACTCCTCCGACGCCGGACAGGAACCGAGGATGCAGCGAGCATTCCTCCTCTGGATCGCGACACTGAGGCGCTGAAAGAGAAAACTTGCTGCTCTAGGGTCTCTTGTGGTGTCAATGAGCTTGGAACCAAGATCCTTAAGAAATCTTCTTGCACTCTCTCCCCATGGGCCTAGGGTCTCAGACCCTATTGGAACGAAGTTGTACCGATGATCTAATTGCCTATACTTGGCTGACTTGTCTCTTTCTCTGCGTGTCGCCGCGGCTCCTGCTGTGCCGGCAGAGAGGGTGATGTATGTGGTTGCCAGGGTGGATACACAAGTATAGTCCCATGCCAACTGTCTGCCACCCTTCCACGGTCGCAGTGTGATTCCGTCTGGTCGGCCGGCAAAGCTATTAACAGAGTCACGGTTCAGTAGGTTGCGGGGCGCTCTCTCCGCTGGACACTGAGCAGAGGCAAGGCTTCTTTTAATGATGTCATTGACTTCGTCGTGTCTAGTGTGCCAACCACCAGATTTTCCACAGTGCAGGCCATGCAATCCATATTCGTCAGCATCTGCCTCGCCGCAAATACACCTATGAACAGGTCTTATATATATATAGATCAGGTCTTATATACAGGTCTTATATATATAGACTTTGTTTCAATAATACCCCTTTTCAACTCTTTTATATTTGCTTATATATCTTGTGCTGAAAACGTTCTACCTTGAGTGTTTGTGGCTCATTTTCGTCTCTAATTTTCCGGCATGTGCCCATTTCTGTTTTCCTTCGGTGTGGTGACTTTTTAATTTCTCTTTGCTAGAAAATTAACAAGCATTGAGTATTTTTGTTTTTTACAATATTAGCATTTCATTAAACATTCGAATGTCAGAACATTCGTTCTGATTCACATTTATTAAAAGCTGTCTTTTTTTTCACCACTACCCAGGTTCCGCTACTACCAGAACGTGTGCACCGTGTCCTACTCTATGGCCTGGTGGGGGTGGCAGCGCTGGGAGAGGGAGATCGACTGGATGGCACTGAATGGCATCAACTTGCCCCTGGCGTTCACGGGACAGGAGGCAATATGGCACCGTGTCTACACCAAGATGGGCCTCACACAAGCCGAGCTGGATGAACATTTTGCTGGACCAGCTTTCCTTGCTTGGTGAGCTGGGTGTGGCGAAGCAAGTGTGGGTGTTCCTTGCTTGTCTGGGTGGGAGTAGTGACGAGTGGGGTATGGATGGGGAAGGTGGAAGGGATACAGTGTTATTAATTCAGCTACTGGGAACAAAAAGTTCCAAATAGCACGGGCTATGGTGAGCCCGTAGTGGACTTACCTGGCACAGGAGCGGGGCAATATTTCAACAATGTCCAGCTTTTCATGTCCCTAACTATGTGTTGGATGGGTGTTTATATATTAAATGGGTGTTACTATATTGTGTGAACAGGGGGAGAGGGGGAAAGGTGTTAAGAATGATGTATACAGTCAGGTGTAGCAAGTTGTGTATAATATCATTTGTAATGCTGTAAATTTTACCACTTACGGGTAATTCATGCCCGTGCCACCTCTTGGGTGACTTTCATCAATCAATCTGTAAATTTTCCTGTGGTTTACCCTGGGTGTCTTCCCACCTGGAGGGGTCGCATGGGAAACATCCGGGGCTGGGGAGGCCCGCTCTCCGCCGCCTGGCACAACGAGACGGTGGCGCTGCAGAAGCTCATAGTCGCCAGGATGCGACAGTTTGGCATGATTCCCATTCTCCCCGCTTTTGCCGGCCATGTTCCTGCTGGTCTTGCCAGGTAAGTCGAAGGGATTGATGATCTTGACCAGACCACACACTAGAAGGTGAAGGGACGACGACGTTTCGTCGTCCCTTCGACGACGTTATGAATCGACTTGAGAATTTTCCAGGACGGACCGAAACGTCGTCGTCCCTTCACCTTCTGGTGTGGTCTGGTCAACATACTTTAGCCACGTTATTGTGGCTCGTAGGGATTCTCAAATGACCACAACTCAGATTTACACCTAAATGTCTTTCAATTTCAATTAATAATGACCTATACACTCGTGCTAATATATGTATACAATGTATATATATAATTTTATATAGTTGCGGTTAGGTTTGTGGGGTAATAATTGTATTCAGATTGGAAGTTAAGTAATAAATCAAGTCAATTTTTCTTTGTAGGGTTCATCCAGAAGCCAATATTACTCGCCTTGGACCATGGTCACACTTCACGGACCCCTACACCAGGTTATAGCCGCAGTTTGTGTACATGCACACGCATGTGTAAGACTGTGTACACATGTGTTAGTGTATGCGCATGCGTGTGTGTATGAGTGTGAGAGGGGGGATCTGTGCTAGAGAATGAGTGAGCAAATGTGGGCTTTCTAGTGTGCTTTTGGTCAATGGATTTCTTTGGATTTGAGCCATGTCGAGCTGTGAGAAATGATTACCTGAGTTTACCTGGGAGCCACTAACACTAGTGGTCTCGTCCGAGGACAAGAAACTGGCGGCTTGTCGAAGGTCCTCCTCCATTTGCCTTGATCTTCGCCTTGATGATATGGGTGATCCTTGAGGAGGCGTCCTGTGTGTGAGCTCACAGCCTAAGGAGCGAAACTAATGGAAACACAAATAGACGTGTTATTATTCTGTACTCAGAAAAGTTCAGAAAGAGCTAATGGAACAATGTAAATGCATGAATTTCACACATTGTGCTCGGTATAAAATACACAATTAATACTTTTCGCTTCATAGTTGTTACTTCTATCATTGTTTTCAGCTATCTTTATTTTGTATCATTGCTATCAGCCAACTTTATTAATATTTTCAGCCATTTATATCGCTACGATGTAGCATATTCATCATCATCATCATAAACGGCAGTATATTTTCATCGCTAAATGAATTTTCGTTATTTCCAATTATTTCCTATATTTTCCAGGACATTCTTGCTGGACCCCAACGATCCTCTCTTCCAGACCATCGGCTCAGACTTCATTCAGGAGGTGAGAGAGAGAGAGAGAGAGAGAGAGAGAGAGAGAGAGAGAGAGAGAGAGAAAGAGAGAGAGAGATTGATTGATTGATTGATTGCAATGAAATCACAATGACGTGATATATCACGCCCTTGTGATTTCTGGCCCCTGGCCACCAACTACAGACGTAGAGATTATCTCTTATAGATAACTATTTTAGTTTAACCTCATATTGATTATTTCAGGTCACTTCTGAGTTTGGCAGCGACCATTTCTACAACTGTGACACCTTTAACGAGATGACACCCACGTCTAGTGACCCTGAGTACTTGAGGAGTGTTGGTGCTGCCATCTATAGTGCCATGGCTGTAGCCGACCCCAACGCCATCTGGTATGTCACTTGCATTTGTTTATTTACATTACATATACTGTTATATTAGCCAAAGGTAAACATTCTGCTTGTCTATTTTAATGCCGCTATGAATGGTAATGCTATCTGGTTAGTGAATTACATGGTGTTAGATTACATTGTTTAAGATTTTAATTATGAACTTAAATGAGTAGGATCTTTTCACTGGCCTTAGTACTGATGCACGTGTCTTTATCGACGGGTTTTATTTGAATAATTCAAATGTTTGATAATGGGAGCGGAAGGAAAAAGTGGGATTGGAGGTGTAGCATTTTAATTTTTGGATTCCATAAAACTCAGAGGAAGGGTTCAGAAGCCTGGATCACTATGACTTAGTTGGTGTTGATTACTGTGGTGTTTACTGGGGATTGGGAAAATCCCAAGTGGTTCAGGAGAGAGAGAGAGAAAGAGGAGAAAGCGCCAAGCCATTACGACTATATAGCACTGGGAAGGGGTCAGGAAAAGGATTTGGGATGGGACACGGGGAATTAAGGAATGGTGCCCAACCACTTGTGGACGGTTGGGAATTGAACTCTGACCTGCATGAAGCGAGACCGTCGCTCTACCGTATAGCCCAAGTGGTTGGATTGCAGTGCATCCTCCAGTGACAGTACTTATAGCAACTATTTGGTCAAACGTACAGAAGTGGACTGTTGGACACTAAAATTCGTTCTGCATTACTTAATTAGCTCATAATGGCTATACTTATAAAATGGAAAAGTAACTGAAGAACGTAACTTAATCTAACCTAGCCATCTTAGGCCAAATATACGTTATATTAGGCTTAATATAGTACCTATATGTGGTATACTAAGCTTAGGAATGTTTGTTTTTTTGTTTTTCGTGCCCTCATACAAAATTAAGTCGTTTTGTTTTAATATCAACTGCATTCATATCTGCTTTGGTGATATAATTAATTTTTGTCATAGGCTTTAAACCTCCCTTTGAAAAGTTAGGACATTTTTTCTATATACTCTTTTTTTTAACAAATTCATTCATTATTCACGAATATTTTATTAAGTTCTTGTTAATATTTATGACCCATATGTTTATCCCTGGGTAAATACAGGGTGATGCAGGGATGGTTGTTTCTGAACGACGGGTTCTGGCAGCTGCCGCAGGCCGAGGCCCTCCTCACCTCCGTCCCTGTTGTAAGTTGACCCTCACCAGCGGCAGTGAGTCCATCTGGTCACCATTTGGTCCGGGACACATCTCCCGTCACGCAGGGTGCAGTCGCACCTCCACAGATCTCCAGTATCATCTATTGATACTGGTGATGGCTCAAAAGGGCCACCACTTACGAGCTATTCATGCCCGTGCCACCTTTTGGGTGGCTTCATCTTCATCTTAACACATTCATAAGGGAGACATCTCCCGTCATGCAGGGTGCATTCGCACCTCCACAGATCTCCAGTATCAGCTCTTGATACTGGTAATGGCTCAAAAGGGCCACCACTTACGGGCTATTCATGCCCGTGCCACCTCTTGGGTCGCTTGAAATTGAAATTGAAATAAGTTTATTGAGGTAAAATACACACAAAGGGATGAGGTAGCTCAAGCTATTCTCACCCCGTTCAGTACAACGTGTTAATATATACATAGACACACATCACAAATAAACATATTACCAAACATTCTGAGAGGTAAACATATACATTTCCTCCTTCACAAGTAAAGTGATGGGTGGCTTAATCTTCATCATCAATCGATGGAGAGAAAGAGAGTGCTTGAGTGTGTGAGATACATTAAAGTGATGGAGAATTGTTCTTTTCATAATGTCAAAGTAATACAAAATTAATTGTAGGTAAAACAAATAATTATACTAAAATGGTGTACGCGTGTGTTGATAATATGTGTGAGTTCATTATGGGAGTCGTACGCGTTCTTTCAAATGTGTAGGAAATTTGAATTAGTACCAAGTTATAATGTGGCCTGTGTAGCTTATATAGCTACATATATATATATTAGCCCCCCCCACCCCCAAAAAAAAAATATTATGTATACCGTTTAGTAAATGTTAATGTAATGATTTAAAATAATATTTCCACTCTTGTGTTCTCTTGATTTTCTCATTCGGGTGTCTTTTTTTTGTTTTACTTTTAAAGTTTTCCGTCATATTATCCTGTTAATGTTGTCTCCCCCCCCCCCACTCTTCCTTAATTCTTCTCGTTGGTATTGTTCCTGCATTACTGTCTTTGTTTTTACCGCCATTTCTTCCTATTTATTAATTTCATCCTCGTTGGTTCCTGTTTTAAAATGTTCATATGTATTTTCTGTCACTTCTGCTGCCGCTGCTGATCCACTGCTGTGCCGGCGTTGTTCCACTGCTCTTGCTGCCGCTGCTGCTGCCGCTGCTGCTGCAGGGCCGCATGCTGGTGCTGGACGTGGCCTCGGAGGTCAGCCCACAGTATAGCCGCCTTCAGTCCTACTTCGGCCAGCCGTTCATCTTCTGCATGTTGCACAACTACGGCGGAGTTAACGGCCTTTTCGGCAATGTTGACATCCTACTGAAGGTGAGTGAAGGTGATGGTTCAAGCAGGTGCAAGCATGAATGGATGAGTGTTTCTATCTTGAAGGTGTGTGGGGAGGGGGGTACCAGGAGAAATATGAATGAAGGCATGTAAGTGAAAGGGTAAATAAATAAAAATTTGTCTACATCTTGAAGGTGAAAGCTATGTGGGAGAAAGGGGAGCGTTGGTCACGAAGGTGAAGGAATATGAGGGGTGAGGAGCATGTTCGTCTTGAAGGATGAGGGGATATGTTGGCTGAGGAAAGGTGACGAAGGGTAGTTTTGACGGGGCGCTGGTGTGACCTCGGATAGGACGGAGGAAAGGCATGGTGCCCAATTAATTGAACCATCGGGGATCGAACACTGACCTGCAAGAAGCGAGATGTTATAGTGGTAACGTTCAGTCCAAGTGCTGGGACACTTTCATATCCCAGGAGATTAATCATTTGAAAGTATGAGTTATCTCACATACATTTTAAATGTCAATATTTATCATGTTTTCAGTAAATTGTAAAATACTTATCATTGTGTATTAAGCATTATAGACAATATGAATAATATCGATATGTAGAGAATGGTTCCTCTGCACATGTCTCTTTACATATTATTTTATGTAGGTTCTTTTAACACACATGCTCGAATGCTTGTACTAATCCTTAGCTTAACCACCATCACCACAGCCACCCTGACAACCATCACCACCATTACTAGCACCAATAAACTAGCCACAATCCCCGCATGTCCACCACCAACCTATACCATAATCACTAACAACCAACTTATCCTCAACCAGAACATGGAAGCTGCCAGGAGCTTCCCCAACGTCAGTATGGTTGGCACAGGACTCACCCCAGAGGGAATCAATCAGAATTACGTCATGTATGATTTCATGAACGAACTCGGGTGGAGGTCAACGTCTCCTAATGTTTCCACTTGGTGAGTTCTGTAATACCTGTGTGTGTGTGTGTGTGTGTGTGTGTGTGTGTGTGTGTGTGTGTGTGTGTGTGTGTGTATCTGAGAATTAAAATGAATGAACTATAAACGCCTTGAGGTATAAGTACATACTTCAAGCCCGTTTACAACCATGTTGCAAGCGGAGCGGGTGTTTACAACCACGTTGCAAGTAGGGTTTAATATTATTTTTCATTGTTTGCAACCGCTTGGGACTCTAGTTTTATTGTCATTTCATTATATTATCTGAAACACTGTATAATTGTATTTATAGTTGTTTTTCTCCATCCGCATATTGTTATCTTACCCGTCATATCTCGGATATATAGAGGGGGGGGGGTAGAAATAGCCTAAGCTACTCTATCCCTTTGAGATGTATTTCTTTCTTATCTCAATAAACATACTTGAACTTGAACTCGGATATATTTCTATAGACTCGATTATAGTACTTCGAATTGTTCCCGTCCTCTCCCTCCCTCCTCCAAGCAAAAATATATAATACAATGTTTCCATTTTATTAAAATAGCTTTCACCAGCGTGAATGGCATTATAATGACGTCGCACCTCGTCGTCCATCCCACAAATAAAACCCAAATGTTTATCTCACATTTTCGTTAGGCTAGGCTGGGTAAGGTTAGGCTAGGATAGGCTAGGTTGAGTTGGGTTGGGTTTAAGAGAGAGTAGCGATGACGTTGAAGGGGGGATACATACTTTTCTCACGTCTTAAGACTTGTTTATTATCAGATCTTAAGACTCCACTTATCTTTTCTCAGGGCATTGGACTACGCCAGTAGGAGGTATGGATCTGATGACCCACGTCTAGGCCAAGCCTGGCAGCTCCTTATGGTGAGTAAATACTGATGTTTTGGTACTATTTAATATATCGATAGAAATTGTATATATATGAAGGTGATATTTTAACTGCAATGCTCATGGAGCCATTCTCTACAGTATACAAGGGTTAATGATATCCCCGGGGATGCATTTATGTCATATTTACCGGGTTTAGCCTATCATGGTAAAATGAGCTTCAATACTATGGTTGCCGTTCACCCAAAGACTGTTACTTCTTAAGGCATTCTTTGGTAAATAAGGTAGACAGATGACATATGCAGTTCAAATTCGATTACAAATGTGTTTTCATTAATTGTTGTGCATTTATAATTAGGTTTATTAATAATTTTGTTGTTAAAGGTAACGGTAAAAGCTATTTTTTTCTGATTATAATTCTACATTATACATCTCAAAACTTATAATGTAGAGTAAATGCTTGTACAGTAAACATTGACGAACCCACGGAGATTGCCATCAAAACTAACTCGCATTAAAAATAATAATAGTAATAATACAATATATACGCTATGTATTAGTCTGCTAAGTAAATTAGACGACTTAAGAGTAGGAGGGATATCAGAATGCTACAGTAAAGTGGTGATCGTAAGTGTACCCGAGGCGCAAGGACAAAATTAACAATCAGATGTGACTGTCTCATGTCACATCTGATTCCCACTGATGTACCGCAGGGCCTCAAGATCTCAGACGCCTGATCCGAGGCCCACAGTCAAGAGGAAACTGAAGGCAAAGGTCGTATTTCACTTCTACTGCATTACATGCAATGGCAAACTCAATAAACTTAGGACTGCCAGGGAAAATAATGAGGCAACAATGGGTGGGAACCTAGAGGTAAAAATATGAGAATAAAGACAATTCATGGAAAAAAAATAAACGAATTGCAAGAGGGTCAAGAACTACAGGAGGGCCAGAAGGTGTTGGTGAAATAATTTATGGACTTCCAACACGCGATAAATTCAAATCATATAAGCATGTTTCCCGTGGTCAACCAGGAGAACCCAGAGGGTAGATCAGACACCGGGGCCCCCGGGAGGGTGGGGGGGGGCGGTTACCTTGAATGGAGGCAGAGTTCTGGATTAGGGATTCAATGTTCTGGAGGGGGATTAGGAAGTACCTTGAGGGACTTGAAGTAGAGGGGGGGGGGTAGAAATAGCCTAAGCTACTCAATCCCTTTGAGATGTATTTCTTTCTTATCTCAATAAACATACTTGAACTTGATTAGGAAGTATTAGATAGACAAAGAAGAAACCACCTCATTGTAGGTAATCTTGCAAAAGAAGAGGACAGGAATGATCGGCAAATCAATGGAACAAGTGAGAAGGTGGTGGAAGCTGAAACTTTTAGTAGTTTCAAAGCGTTTTTTGACAAAAAAATATGAGGAAAGACGGGACACCACGAGCGTCGCTCTCATCCTGTAACTACACTTAGGTAATTACACCTCTTCTCTCTGCTGACTATATCCTTCCCTCAGGGCAGCGTGTACAATTGCAGTGTGTATATCCGTTACCACGGTAGAGATGCGATTATCGTGCGGCGACCCACTCTGCGACCCAGGAAGCTCGTGAGTTGTCATGTACAGTGGCCACGGAGCCTAGCAAGTGCTTTAGTATGTAGCTTCTTGCATTTGACAGCATGTAATTGTATCTCTATTTGTAAGTACTAACGATAAATCGCATCTTGACCCTATTCGGGTGACATTTACGGTAATGTTTCTCATAAGGTCTTTGGTAAACACACACTACTTCTTCTTCCAGTCTACAAAAAAATGGTAGCAGAGAAGACCCTCTAAATTACAGACAAGTGTGGTAGTCAAAACACTAAAAAAATAGTTAAAACCAAATATATATAACACCTGGAGAGAAATGATATTCGCTCCATTTTCTGAATGCTTTAAATTGAATGATATATGGTAAGTTGACCAGACCACACACTAGAAAGTGAAGGGACGACGACGTACCGGTCCGTCCTGGACCATTCTCAAGTCGATTGTGAGAATGGTCCAGGACGGACCGAAACGTCATCGTCCCTTCACCTTCTAGTGTGTGGTCTGGTCAACATACTTCAGCCACGTTATTGTGACTCATCGCCTGCATATATGATAACATTTTTTAATAGTTCACTCGCACTCTCTACGTAAATCAAATTGACGGATACTGTAGCCTGTTTTGCCTCTGGCACTACCTATATTACCCAGCTATTACCAGCGTGCGCGTATTTTTCCACTTAGTAAGCTCCTAAAGCTCGCAGCTTTATAAATAAACAGGGTAACGCCGAGGGGCCCAGAAACACTTAAAGAAGTTACACGACAAAACGCCTACCACTACGGGCTACTCATGCCTGTGTCATCTCTTGCTGTGGCTTAATCTGCACCAATCAACAGTGCAAGAGTTATTTATGACTTCTACATTTAGGTTACATAAATTATTGAATTCTTCTAAAGATGATTATAATCTAACTGGTTTAACAACAAAAGATATACTGTATTGTCTAAATATAAATTATATTGACAATACTGTACTTTAACAAGCAAGTTAACTGATGATTGAGATTATAGTGCCCGTAGGCATTAGAAAAATATAAGTCAAGCCTGGCCTTCTTCAACAGGCCAGCTCGGGGAGTAGGCAGAATCAGGGTTGATCTGATTACTTCTGAAAAAGAAAATGCATTTATAACATGCTTGTACATTTTTATGTAAAATTACAAAGTTTTAATAAGGGAAATATAAAATAAATGATACGATATAACATTTAAATATTTAGTCATTATTTATTATAAATTTATGTATATAGAAAATAAAGCTATTTAGTTTTTAACTAAATTCTTTAGAAAATATGAATCCTTCCCCCCAATAATCGTCCCTTCAGTCCTCCCTCCCCCCCCATCTCTTATTGGTCTTCCCTTTTTTACATCTGAAAGGCGAAGCTTCCTCCCTGCTCCTATCAACTTGCAGGTCAAATTCTTGAAAAAATGCACTAACATGTTAGATATTTAAATATATTTATCAGACCTGAATAAAAATACATTTAGGGCAGTTACACCGTTATCAAATATGCTTAGAAAATGAGAATAATAGTTTATGGCAAACTATATGATTTTAGTTTCCAGTTGTCTGTGGGACAGAAAATAATCCACTATAGTTATATAAATCTTTGGTAAATTGTCATTGTAAAAGCATTTCATTTATGACCAAACCACACGTCAGAAAATGAAGACACGATGACGTTTCGGTCCGCACTGGACCATTATCAAGTCGTCGTGATGTTTCATTCACCATTTCATTAACTTCATTCGGCATTTCATTTGATAGCAATATCAATAGCTACTGACCTTCCTCAGAATGCAACATCGCACAACAGTTGCCCAACTCCCGGGTACCTATTGACTGTTTGGTGAACAGAGGCATTTTGTGATTTTCTTTGTGATTTTCGGGCATTTTCTGGCCGAAACGCTGCGCGTGCTAGTGGCTTTACAAGACTGTAATTACCATATTTGTATCCTTACATTCCTTATGTACATTCTTGTATATGCATAAATAATTAAATAAATAAATAAGTGATAGGAAACGTGACAAACCATTTCTGTCCCTCGCAGGGCTCCCCCGATTTTGAGTCGAAAATGAACCCAAGCGAGAAAATGAACAAATCCACAAGGGCCGTGACGAGGATTCGAATCCTCGTGACGAGGATTCGAATCCTCGTCACGACCCTTGTGGATTTATTCATTTGAAGCATCACGCTATTGTGATTTCTGTGTGTAACCCCAGAGAGACTTATTCACACTGGGTGAATTCCCAGTAGCCATAGAACAGCAACATTGTTTCAAAGAACAGGTATTAATTAACCAACATTGTTGTCGCAATACTAACCGTCTAAGATAGTGCTCGAGAAATTAATAAATAACAAATCTGACCTCGCTAACTTAAGTTTTGAGATGAAAAAGGGTTGTAATGTAATCTGAGAACATACAAAACAATTAATATATTTACAATAAAAATTGAAATATTTATGTAATATTTTTAACATTTTATAAAATTTAAATATATTTATTACAAAAATTACTTGCTTTTAATGTTTACACAAAATTAGCAATATAGGAATAATATCATTTTATTACTCTTAAATTTGTCAACTTAATTATTGAGAAAATTCGAATAGACTATTTGATAAACTATTATTTCAACTGAATTATTTGAAACTGCAGCGAAAAAAAATTATGAATATACTAACTACAACAATTATTTAACAAATATTTATATAGGTATCCATATAAAGAGTATTAAGGAATTAACAATAATATATTTCAAAACAATAATATCGTGCTATACTAATTAATTTAGTGTACCCTAAAACAAAATTACAGCAATATATGAGGGTAGACTATTATAGTCCACATAACTCGCATTAACTTGATAAACGCCTAACGTGTGTGAATACACTCCGATATCTGATTATAATATTATTATTATCACTAATATGCACAGCGTTTCGGGCAAAAGTTCGTTTAGCTAGGCAAGTAACAATCTTATGAAGCTCTTTGCACAATTTTTGTCAAATCTACATTTTTAAATGTAGATTTGACAGAGCCTAGTTGGCTCAGGAATCTGTACACCAGTTGATTGACAGTTGACAGGCGGGTCCAAAGAGCCAGAGCTCAATCCCCGAAACCACAACTAGGTGAGTACACACACTACCTACACAAGTCTCAGAGGAATTGACAGGGTAGAAAAAGCTAAACTGTTTAACACGAGTGGTACGCGAATAGGTGGGAACCGAGTACCTAAATGAGCCAAAGGGATGTTAGAAAGGCTGATCTTCTGATCGGCAGTTATACATAAATCAAACATAACACGCATCTAATTATGTTTTCATTTTAAGCTACTCGATCCTTTCGAGGTGTATATTCCATTGTCTTAATAAGCTTATTTGAACCTGAACGACAGAGGAGCGTGTACAACAACAAGATCCACACATCCAACCATGGACAGTATATCGTCGTTATTCGACCACAAATTGATGTCAAACCTGATACGGTAAGTTTCGTGTGTGTTTCTAATTTGTGTTTGTGTTGTGTGTGTGTGCATATGGCAAGGGTGAGCGGTCTCCACTTATGTCCTGGAAGTGGGACGACCATTCAAAAATTGTATTAAAGAGAAGAACCAGCAGCTTAGTCTAATGGCCTGGGGCCAGATTCACGAAAGCACTTACGCAAGCACTTACGAACCTGTACATCTTTTCTCAATCTTTGGCGGCTTTGTTTACAATTATTAAACAGTTAATGAGCTCGGAAGCACCAGGAGGCTGTTTATAACAATAACAACAGTTGATTGGCAAGTTTTCATGCTTGTAAACTGTTAAATAAATGTTACCAAAGCCGTCAAAGATTGAGGAAAGATGTACACGTTCGAAAGTGCTTGCGTAACTGCTTCGTGAATCTGGCCCCTGGTAAATACTTCTTTCTCTTCAAACTTAAACTTTCCTGGATGCCCTAAATGGCCTTCCTCCGTTTCTCCTGGCATTTGCTCAGCGGTCTCGCAATGACAATCTTTCATTGTCCTAAATAATGACAATCTTCCATTGAATGATGTTTATCTCTTATGTATGCAGAGCCACGTGTTTGTGTGTGTTCGCTTGTATCTTGTGTACAGGTTCATGCATGCCCAAATGATCTTTCACAGATATGTAGCCTAATGTGCAAAAAAAAAAAATCCCAGTTGTGCAAGAAATGAAATTATTTGTAAATTTACGCTCATGATAACAATTGTTTAATGCAAGTAAAGCTGAACAAAATGCATTACAATTTTCATGAATGTGTACAAATAATTTGTAATGCTTATACGTGTAATGAATGTTGAAACAATAGCAAATTAATTTATTATTAAGCTTAGGTATGCACAGCAATGTGCTGCTACCTTATTCTATATGAAGGATTCAACCTGTCCCCCAGAAATTATAATATTTTTTGTAACTATTGGATCGAAAGTACCAATATGACGTGTTGGACCAGCAGATGGAATTTTATACCATCAGTTTTATAGTCTGAAAAAATATAGCTAAAAGTCAAACTTAAATATTCTTATGACTAGTATAGCGCATATATGTACAATATTAGACCTATAATAGCGTATATTAGGCCTAGGATTGCTAGGAGAAGTTAGGATACAGCTTATATTTATTATTGTTGATAAAAAAAAAATTAACGGTTTCTCCAAATTCAGGAATACAAAATTCTACTATTTCCCGGTTCATATTGGTACTTTCGACCAAATAGTTACTGTAAATACTTTCATTTTACGATGATGGGCCTGGAAGGATTGCAGTGTAGTTTTAAGCTTGATGTAAAGGCTATAAGTTTTAAACTTTCGATGTATTAAAACTTTTAAGTAACATTTGGTTATATTTTACACGAAAATTATCCTAGCTCCCTGTCACCAATCGCATTCATATGATGCTTATTTTGCTTTATGTAAAATATATGTCAAAACATGTGTTGTAAATGTTACAGCTATGGTATTCGGTAAGCGATGTCGTCGCCGCGTGGGACCGCCTCATCGCCGTTGCTAAGGAAGAGAAACAAAGCTTGAACCTTGAACCTCGTCGGCTTTACACAGCATATAAAACCACACAGAATGACCCGAGAATCAAAACATACGACGGAGTATTAAACCCTCACCAAAATAAACAAGAAGTTGTCCATAACAGCATAAGGATATCCAGACGCTCAGCCGTTGATGTTAGTGAGGGCGCCGCCGTTGACGTCAGTGAGGGCGCCGCCGTTGACGTCAGTGAGGGCGCCGCCGTTGACGTCAGTGAGGGCGTCGCCGTTGATGTCAGTGAGGGCGCCGCCGTTGACGAGGGTGGAGTCAACAGGAAGCTGGTTGCATCAGAGCCGGAAGGGACAAGAGGGAGAATGATAGATGAAAGTGAGGAGAGGAGAACTAGAATCAAATCAGTAATTGAACAATCTACTTTCAAACATGATTTAGTTGATGTGACAAGACAGATATTGCAAGTAAGGCTGTACTTGATAATTGTATGTATATATTTTAAAGCCTTTATAAGTAACTATGCTTTAATTTACGAGCCGTCTGAGGGTATTATCCTCGCTTTGTAAGTGTGGCTGGTTCTCATAATCTTGAATTGCCGGGCGTAATTAAACTCTTATCATATCTACCCTGTCTGTGGGTATGTATGCCTATAGGTGGGTATAATACCTGTAGGTGTTATACTATACCTATAGGTGGGTATAATGTGGGTATGTATACCTCAATAAACTTATTTCAATTTCAATCATATCTAATTTGAACTAATTTTCTGAGTCACTTTCTACTATTTTTCTTGCTTGCTCGTACATTAAAGGTTTTCTTGAAGTTCCTGACTCATTTTGTGTATACAAACCACTCTCGTGTCCTTCCAGTCAATGCTACTTAGTGCTTTATATATTGTGACCATTTGTCATCTTTTTCTGTGAATTCAGTTTCGTGAGATCCAGGTTATATAATCTTCTCGTAGCTCTCGATCCTGAGTTCCGGTACCAATTTATATAGTCTAAAGCCTCTCTGCTTCCTAGCATTCCTGGTACGGTGTTGGCTACACTCTCGTTCTGTACACAGGAGGATTGGTTTTACATATGTGATTTAAAGCATTTTGTGTGATAAATTGGTAAAGTTCCTGATATCAGTCATGTATACATTGCTGACAGTGTATCCTCGGTTGGTATCTGTTCAGTATCAGAGGTCCACGGTTGTTCAACATACTCCCAGTAAGTATAAGAACTATAGCCGGAACCACCGTGGACATTTTCAAGAGAAAACTAGATTTTTTTTTTTCGAGAAGTGCAGGACCAACCGGGCTGTGGTGGGTATGTGGGCCTGCGGGCCGCTCCAAGCAACAGCCTGTTGAACCAAGCTCTCACAAGTCAAGCCTAGCCTCTGGCCGGGCTTGGGGAGTAGAAGAACTCTCAGAACCCCATCAGGCAAGACATTATCTGGCTTATCAGCGTCATATCTACTGCCGGGTGTGGGAATTATCGTATGTTAATATTTACCATACCACTCAGAAATGGTAGATAATTTTGTGAAATTTTCATCGTAACCTTTATTGAGGGGGTTAGATTATTTTACATTCTAATTATAATGTCTAGATATATTAATAGATCATAAACAGATTGATTGATTGATGAAGATTAAGCCACCCAAGAGGTGGCACGGGCATGAATAGCCCGTAAGTGGTGGCCCTTTCGAGCCATTACCAGTATCAAAAGATGATACTGGAGATCTGTGGAGGCGCAACTGCACCCTGCGTGACGGGAGATGTCTCCCGGACCAAGTGGTGACCAAACAGAAAACATCATCCACATATCTTTACCATGCGGTGTTACGAGTAGAATTCTACTTTGTTGGTTTTGTTACAAAGTTTCGTTACAAAGAATTCCACGTGAGAATTGCTTAAGACAGGAAAGTTGAGATTTGTATAGGAGTCTCCCGGTCTAAAGTTTTCTGGCAATCCAGGAAGAAGTTTTCAGTCCTAATGCAGGCGATGAGTCACAATAACGTGGCTAAAGTATGTTGACCAGACCACACACTAGAATGTGAAGGGACGACGACGTTTCGGTCTGTCCTGGACCGACTTGAGAATGGTCCAGGACGGACCGAAACGTCGTCTTTTCAGTCCAACCTTCTTGTTCACTTTCATGTTGTTGCATAGCAGCACGTTCTTCATACACGACGTATCTTTCTAAATCAACATTGTCAATTTGTTAAAAATGTCTTTTCTATGTGTTACTCTCGCTTCTTCAGGAGTAATAACTGTAGTTCTGCTGTACCCTGTATAACGTTACAGGGTACAGCGTATATTCCTGCCGAGGTACCCTTGTTAGTTGTGATTCTGATGTGGGTGTTGGTTTTTCTGAATCATTTTGTTCAGTCATTAATTAATTTGTTTGCAGGTTTTAGTGATGTTTGTTATCTGTGTTACGGGCTAACAAGTGATGGCATATTTAATCGATTCTATCTATTGTGGCTTTTTCTGTTTTTTCCTAACAGCTGGTTGGTGGAGAGATGGTGATCAGACTGGTGCAGAACTACAATAATCAAGTTCTGCTTGCTGTTCAGTAAGTATGTGAGTCTTTGTTACAGGTGTTATTCAGACAAATCTTACCTAAAGAGAAATAGGTTGTAGGTGTTAAAAATTAGTGCTTCTTCTCTCTGCTGCCCACTTGCTAGCTCTCTACTGACGTCTTTTACGCGTATAGCACAGCCTCAAATGGCAACTGACTGGCAAATACAAAACAAAATAAATAATATATGATACTCATAATATTAAATCTTCACAGGGCAGGCTATTTGCAACCTGTGGACCAGGGTAAGCCAACCGGGTTGGTATGTCCAACCTGGGTATTTGCTCCTACATGGCCGGATGACATTTTCCAGAACTTTAAACCTCTTTCTAGACACTAATTGTTATTACATGTATATGTACATTATTTCTGGGGCCTCGACAACTCTCAATACCATACATGTTGGCTGTATACACATATTTTTACAGTTTACGGTCTATTCATGCCCGTGCCACATCTTGGGTGGCTTAATCTTTATCAATCAATTTTTACAGCAACTTTCATTTCGCATAAACATTCTCCAACAATCACATCGTGTAATAGAGAGCTTTCATGCTGACCCACCTGGAGTAGTGCCTGCGCTCTGATTGCACAACAAGTGATAAAGGTGATAAGGTTAAATGGTAGAGCCAGTCTTTTAAATGCTCAAGTGGACTTCGTAATTCCACCGATATCACCACTCTTGCTTTTCTGTTAACCATTCCTATTTAACTATTCCTGATTGAGCAACGTTTTAAATAAGGGACCACGAAACGTTTAATCAGATTTCTTCAGAACAAAGTTGCCATGTTTGAAGTCATGTTGACCAGACCACACACTAGAAGGTGAAGGGACGACGACGTTTCGGTCCATCCTGGACCATTCACAAGCGACTTGAGAATGGTCCAGGACGGACCGAAACGTCGTCGTCCCTTCACTTTCTAGTGTGTGGTCTGGTCAACATACTTTAGCCACGTTATTGTGACTCATCGCCTGCATGTTTGAAGTCATCTCTACCGTGTGTTCTGGCCGGCATGATTTAGCAAGAACACACGGAAACGAAACGACTAATTTCATCACTTGGAAAAAAAATCAAATCCTCAGTTGTGTTGACTGAAACATTGACGCTCATATTCTACTAATTTGAATATTCTAATATGATGACGACGCTATCAGGCTTATGTAAACTTTTATTCTCGAGCGAGGTTTGTCTATTTGAGCCTGAGTAGGTGTCCATAATCGCTCACGACGAACTAGCAATAGTCAGCTATACAGTAGTCAGCCATACAATATTTCACCTTCCTAGGTGAAACAGAGGCATCAGGGTGAAAGAAACTCTGCCCCATTTGTTCCCGCCTCCGCCGGGAATCGAACTCTGACCCTTAGGACTACGAACCCCGAGCGCTGTCCACTCAGCCGTCAGGCGCCATGTAACAATCTGTTTTATAACATACAGTATAACCAAATTGGAATAGGTAAATTCAGTTAAATATTACACTTTCTGGCCGCGGTAAATATTGAGGACACTGAGCCCCGGCCGATGTTTCCACAGAGAGTCTCACAGCCTTCTGCAGCAACTTCTGACGGAACTGGACCTCTTGCTGGGGTCCTCTCCTAACTTTCTCCTGGGGAGCTGGGTGGAGGCTGCCGCCGCTTGGGCCACCAACGAAAAGGTATGAAAACCTATGTGGATTACAGACAAAATGTTACTTAACTGCCTTAACCAAACTCTTGGGGGGGGGGGGGTAGAAATAGCCTAAGCTACTCTATCTCTTTGAGATGTATTTCTTTCTTGTCTCAATAAACATACTTGAACTTCAACCAAACTCTATCAGATCAGCGTTGGGTTAAGGCAGATGACAGTGATGGACGAAAGTAGGATTTAATTTAGGCAGGAATTAAACCAGCAAGGCATTTGTTTACAACTGTTATGATCTATGCAAACACACAGGAGTGGGGTGTGTAATTCAGCGAGTAAATATTGAGTACGTGCTGTGAGTTTTTCTGTTATATTCGGTATTTACATCTTTACATAAAAGAGGGAGACACTATAAGCGCATCTCTGTACACCAACAGGAACGTGACCAGTACGTATTCAACGCCCTCAACCAGATTACCTTGTGGGGTCCCACGGGAGAGATCCACGACTACGGTATCAAGCAGTGGTCAGGTCTGGTCGCAAACTTCATAAAGCCTCGCTGGGAGCTCTTCTCTGAAACCCTAGAGAAAAGTTTGAAACAAGGCGAGCCTTTCGACGAGGCTTTATTTAACTGGGACCTGTTCACGTCTGTTGAAGATCCTTTTACCAAAGATACTAACGCTACTTTTCCCTCTGTCCCTAAAGGTAAGATGATAGGTTTTTATCGTGGTACTGGTAATGGTGGTGGTGGTTGTTGTAGTGGTGGAGGGTGGTAGTTCATGGCAAGGGTGGTAGTGGTGGTGGTGAGGGGTTAATGGTGTTTACTGGTTGTGGTGATAATGAAATTATCACCGATGGGGGTTGGTGATGGTAGTGATTACCTATTAGAGCTTGTAGGCAAGACTTGTGACAGCTCTTGGACCCGCCTCTAGCAATCATGTATCTTGTGCAGCTTTACTCGTGCTGTATTAGTTTACTCTGTTTATCTAATTGTTACTTATTATCCATGTGGAGAAGTTACTCTTGTCGAGTGGCTCGGAGAGCCAGCAGCGCTCAAGGTGTCAAAGGTCTTCAAAAAATTTTTCTTTTTAGGAGACTCGATTGAGATTGCCGTGGAGCTGTACAACAAATACCGACCAATTTTTGACTCCCGTCTGTTGCGACTGTTCGAGCGAAGATATCAACGGTCTCTCCGTCCATTTGTTAAGAAGACGATGATCAAGACAAAGATTAACAAGGACAAAATTGGTAAACATTTGCGAGGGAACTCTGAGATTAAGAACGTAGGATCTAACAAAATATTAATTTAAAAATAACATCGACAAAGGTGTTATTAGAAACAGTTTTGAGGAAGTTGATGATTGTCAAGTTTTTTGTATTGTAAACCACAATAATGTGGGAATGACATTTCATGCAGTCGGGAAGGCGAACTACCGCCCTGTGAGCACTCTACCTAATGCAGTAGTTTCAAAGCGTTATATGACAAAGAGTGCTGGGAAGACGGCACACCACGAGCGTAGCTCTCATCCTGTAACTACACTTAGGTAATTAACACTTAGGTACAGTAATTACAACAACGTCCATAACAGGAAGAAGAATAGTAGTAGTTAGATTAGTTCATTTATTATGCACCCCATACCCATCCTTATGGGGTGGGAAAGGGTTTCTGAGGCACATAATGGGCTCAGGGACTGAATCCCAAAATGCATTTAGCTAAGCAAGTTAGTTTTCATGAGCTAGTTATAAAAATCAATGTAAATCGTCACACCAACAGAGGGATGGCTGTTCGCTTTCCCGACATTCCAAATAAGGTTATTGTTATTCTGACGCTACTGTGGTCTGCAGGGTATGTGATTGTTGCCATGGGGACTGAATACTACTGGCTACTTCTGGTACATGTTATATATTCGCATAAACAGATTCTCGCTATAGTTTGCTTTGAGGCTTCCATTTGTACCGCTATATATTCATTTAGATAAATCCTGATAGTGTTTGCTTGAAATAAATGACAAATACAGAGCAATTTAGATTAATATTTGTATCCTTAAGTGTTTTACCAACTATAAACATGCATAGCATGAAGAGCTAATACAGATTACAGGAGTTTTAATAGTAATTGGTACTAAAAACTGTGAAAATATTTAGATCTTTTATCATAAGCTTTCCTAACAATTGTTATACTAGAAAAGCTGCTACAGTTAATACAAATTACAGTACAAGGAAAATTATGAAAACATATAGTCTCCGTGGTGTAGTGGTAAGACACTCGCCTGGCGTTCCGCGAGCGCTATGTCATGGGTTCGTATCCTGGCCGGGGAGGATTTACTGGGCGCAAATCCTTAACTGTAGCCTCTGTTTAACGCAACAGTAAAATGTGTACTTGGATGAAAAAACGATTCTTCGCGGCAGGGGATCGTATTCCAGGGACTTGCCCGAAACGCTACGCGTACTGGTGGCTGTACAAGAATGTAACAACTCTTGTATATATCTAAAAAAAAAAAAAAAAAAAAAAAAAAAAAAAAAAAAAAATATGGCTGTGGAGCTTTTTCCTTTTTTTACTGGAAAAATCTTTGTCATTTGGCGAACCACTTAAATTCCCTTTGCTCATTATTCAAGTTTAATAAAGGCATAAATCTTGTAGTGAAGGGATTTACGCTTTATCAAGGGATAGTCCTCCTAGATTTGAAATATGCAAATGTCACCCCTGTTTTCAAAAAAAGGCAGAAAGAGCTCGGCGGAAAACTACCGTCCGATCAGCTTTACATCACACATCTTTATGCTCAAGGAAGGGAACTATTAGGGGGAAAGTGCTAAGCCATAACGACTATATAGCATTGGGAAGTGGTCAGGATAAGGATTTGGGATGGAACGGAGGGAAGGAATGGTGTCCAACCACTTGGACGGTCGGGGATTGAACGCCGACCTGCATGAAGCGAGACCGTCGCTATACCGTCCAGCCCAAGTGGTTGTTTATGCTCAAGGAGAGAATCCCGAGGGGGGGGGGAATCATTCACCATTTTTCAGTGAACAATCTTGTAAAATCGACACAACAATAACATTGGTTTGCTAGAAATGGATCCTGCCTTACAAACCTGCACACATTCTTAGAAACTAACCAGCACACATTCACTGAACGTTGCACAACAGGTAGGAGCAGCAGTAAAAATAGCAAACCAAACCCTAGGAATAATTGAGCGTATCTTTGACTTTAACCCCTGCACTGCGCACCTGCTTTCGGCAAAAATGTTGTGGTGCAGTTGTTAATGGCTTATTTTGAAGTCATTATAAGAAGGTAGTGATTCAACTGTATAAATCTCCTTTACGCCCACACTTGGATTATTGTATCCAAACACAGGGACCTCATCTTCAGAAGGACATAGCTGCATTGGAGAAAGTACAACACCGAGCAACAAGAGCAACAAAAATCATTCCAGAACTAAGTCAGCTCTCGTACCAGGGACACAGGGCTAACAACATTGCAAAACAGGCATGACATGGGGCCTGATAGCTGAGTGGACAGCGCTCTGGACCCGTAATCCTAGGGTCAGAGTTCGATCCTCGGAGATGGCAGAAACAAAATGGGCAGAGTTTTTTTTCACTCTGATGCCCCCTGTTACCTAGCAGTAAATAAGTACCTGGGCGACAGCTGTTACGGGGCTGCTTCCTGGGGGTGAGTGCGTGAAAAAAAACAAATAAATTAGTTAGTAGTTAGTAACAATTGATTGATTGACAGTTAAGAGGCAGGCCGAAAGAACGGAGCTCAACCCCCGCAAGCACAACTAGGTGAATACCAAGCGGATCTCATCAAAAACTTAAAATACTTAACAATTTGGAAGATGTTGATTCAGGCAATTTCTCCAAAATTTCATATATAACACAAACAAGCAGCAACAGTTTCCAGCTCAACAAGCCACAATGTAGGACCGAAAACAGGAGAGGATTTTTTACCCACAGTATTATAAACCCATGGAACCGCCTACCCGCCGAAGCCGTAATTGTCAAAACTTTTAAATATTAAAATCTAGCTGGAAAAAAATCATCAGGGCAAATGGAGGGACCTTTGACAGACCGCCGGCTTCTTGTCCTCGTCGAGGCCACTGGAGTGTTAGTGGCCCTCGGGTAAATCAGGTCTCCTTCAATTTATTATACATTAGATTGTAATGCATAATAAGTAATGATAATGCCTTATCACAGACATAATATTTAAAAAAAACACTTATGTATTGTACAAAAGTGTGGGTTTTTATCCTATATCATGTATATTATATATTATAATATTTATTATATAATGCAAATTATATTATGGCAATGCTTGAGGACTGTACCGAGTCTTATTGTATTGTAAATGATACAACGAATAGGCAAGATTTTCAATGTTTTATTATTTAATATAAATCTATTTTACTATATTACTCGCCTTATTTTCTCTAAAGCTGACGCCTCCTTTCCCCCCCTCCCCCATGAAAGGGTTAAATTGTGTCTACGTTGATTGTATGATAATGGGTGTATAGTGGATGGAGAGTGCTCCACCCACCTCTTTATCAGTCGTTTGCTGGACGTTGTTGGGTGTTGAGTCAATGTTCTCAGAGACTCGCGTATTTCCCCACCTCACCATAATCTAAACAGACGTTGTCACAGATCGGATGAGACTTGGCTACAAGTATCTCTGGCAGTTCGGTTTGTATATTGATCTAGATAAAGTAAAGTGCAAAGTGTGTGGACAAAGACACGGGCACACACTCGAACACTATATATCTTTGACTTACTAAAATTTAGTCATTTAGAGATAAATCTAAACTCACGTTCTATTAAATGGCAAACCATCTTATTACTAACCTTGCACTGTATCCATATTTCGCTTCCAGTAGATAAACGACATATGAGATTAAGAAACAAGTAGAGTATTGTGAAGACTAATAATAACAAACAGCAGCTATATAGCTGAAGAATAGCCGGTGCATGAAAGGAAACATCGAAGTTGGAGAGACAGAGCCAGGGCTGTCTCCAGCCAGCGGTGGCGCAAATAGGATTAAATAGGGAACAAAAGTCTTTATATAACCTCAACAGAGATTTTTACATTAACAATTTCATCTATCCCTCACACCTTATAATTACAATGTGAGCTAGTTATAGAGAATGCTCTATTTCAAGAGCTATATATTTACAGTAAATCATTATACATTAACGGTAGGTCTTATCACTAATACATAATTGTTTGAGCAATTGAGATATTAGTCATAGGGGATCGCCCACTTCCCAGCTCACCCGAAGGATATAGTGTCCTATAATTGATTCGATTCGGTGACTGGGTAAATATCCACTTACCTAGTCAGCAAATGTCCATTTACCCAGTCTGGCAACTTGTTAAAGGTCTTCCCATTTGTCCTGATGACTTTTTCGAGTTGGGATTTTACATTCAGGTGTGTTTTGGTATTTGCGGCTTCGGTGGGTAGGCGGTTCCAAGGACATAACCCTTTCTGTGGAAAAAACAACAACAGTTGTAGGTTACATCTTGAGGAAGGGCAGTCCCCAGACGGAATCCCGTCTTGGCTTAGGACAGGAAGTCAGAAGAGGAGGACAGGAAGTCAAAAGTATGACGTCTCAAGAGTGACAACCTGAGTCCCGACAATGGGAAACGAAGATAATCCTGACGTCGAACAGTCACCCGACGATTAGGTTGCTGCCCCCAACATAACAAAGTATATTTTTTGTGCGCATTTAAATTAAATACGAACAATATTACTTTATTTTTCAGGCTATATAACAAATGCAGAATATTAGATGAATATTTCTAGAAGTAATATATTTGCACGGGCTAGACTTATTTGATTATAAAACAATTTGCAGGCAACTCCTCCCCAGCTGCGTCCAGACCACATTAAGATACTCTCATTAACTCAGTCTCACACACAGTGCCAGGCTGGGAGGGATGCTTCCAAAATCTGTGAATCCCGATACTCGTTGTTAACTATTGTCGTACGAAACTAACCACATCTTGGCCAGTTAACTTGAATACAGACACCACCGGGAGGCAGTAATTCTTAACTAGCAACAGCAGTGAAGACGACTCTTCTGGAAGTGTACAGTGGAGGGTCCAATTGTTTGACGAACTACTGTACCTATTTTGGAGAATATTCTGTTAACTACACAAAGCAAATGAATATATTTCAGGTAGGTGGTTAATTAAACTAGTTTCTTAAAATTAGGCTGCATATTTGTAATATAAGTGTTAGTAGAGAAGGATACCAGCCCTTGGGGAGACGGGCGGGGTCCTGAGCCTCCTCGCTGGGGTCCGGTCGTTTCCGACATGAGATGATTCGAAGAAGTTCATTTTCTGTTTGTTAAAACCTTGTATATGGCTATGCTAGAACGTCTTAGGTTAGGTTGTATTAGCTTAGGTTAAGTTGTATTTCGCTCGGTTACGGTAAGTTAGGGAGGTTTCAAAACCTGTTGACGAATCGTCTTGTGACTTGATCTGCCCGAAACGCAGCGCGTACTAGTGGCTTTACAAGAGTGCAATTACTGTACCATGCTATGTATTCTCACAAACCCAATGTACCTTCTTGTATATAAATAAATAAATAAAATAATAAATAAAACTTGTCTTCTGCGCTGGCTTGTGTTAACGCTGCCGTTCTCGTCTTCCAAGACACTAAAGTGACCAAAAACGAGACAGTATGACTTGAGAATAAGTTAGAAATGTGAATAATTTGAAGGCACATGATCATGTTTTATTATAATTCATGCATAAGTAATTTTCAGATATGTGGAGCGATTTATCCTTGTGCAATGAGAATAGTGCCCGAACTGAGGGGCATGAGCTAGAGGAGAAACTACTTGAATTAAACCTCACGTCGCTGGAAGACAGAGTTAGGGGGGGGACATGATCACCACATACAAGATTCTCAAAGGAATTGACAGGGTAGACAAACAGTTTATTTAACACAAGGGGCACACACACTAGGGGACAGGTGGAAATTGAGTGCCCAAATGAGCCATAAAGACATTAGAAATAATTTTTTTTTAATGTCAGACTAGTTAATAAATGGAATTGGTTAATAATTCAGTATAGTTAATAAATGGTACAACAACTAGGTGAATACATTGATACATTCCTCACTAGGAAATGAATGACATAATTCCTGTGTAAAAAAAATATAAAAAACTGCTCCCATAAAACACACATCAGTTGACTAGTAGAATTATGTAGTCATTGGTGACAGCTTGAGTACAGTAGTCATGAGATAATATTAATTTATCAGGATAAAAATACAGGTAATTAAACAAAGAATTAAAAACATGACAGATCTTTCAATGTCCCTGTAGGGAAAAGTAGTATTCAAGGTAGTATAGGGACAAATGCAATTACAGTAACATTTAAAATTGCCTGGAAAGTAGTTTTAGTAGGTTCTACATTACATTATTACAGAGAAAACAAAGGTCTATTGAAGCTCATTTCACTGACCTTGTACTTGCAGAAACATTATATAACCCAAATATAAGTGACCAAAAAGTGACCAAATAAGTGACCAAATATAAGTGACCTACTTAAAATTATCTGCTAGATTAAGGACTTGCCCGAAACGCTGCGCGTACTAGTGGCTTTACAAGAATGTAAATACTGTACTATCCAATGTATTCTCACAAACCCAATGTACCTTCTTGTATATATATAAATAAATAAATAAATAAATACAGTACTGTAATTATCATTATTAAAGTAAAAGGAATAGACATGGAATACTCCCGAATACAAGGGGGTTTCCTTAGGCCATTGCTCCCTATGCCTCTCTGAGGAGGCCAGGTTCTGGCTCGTGTTCCCCGGTAGGCAGAAATCCACTGACTGAAGCCCAAGACTAATATAGAGTACATCAGTCCGATAACTCCAGGGAGCCTCTGGGACTCGCCCAGAAAATGGCGTTTCATTACATTCAATGCGTTTTTTTTTTTTTTTTTTTTTTTTTTTTTTTAAAGCTGTTGATATACAAATTGGTATGCTGTACATCAGGGACACAGCAACCTGTTAGGTTTATTAAGATTTCTATATCCAAGGGCAAAGCTGTCTGTCCCCCATCAAGTAACTGGCAGAACCCAGTAGTGCTTGATGAACTAACTGACCAAACTGACCTAACGGACCAAATTCAAAATAGGTTTGTATCATAACCTAATAGCTGAAGAGTTTATCTAGAAATCTGTTGCTTCTATAAGATATTATGTCAGTTTTGAATGGGTTCTTTTCAAAAGCACATAATCGACCTACTCTTGATCATAGGTACAGAGTTGTTGACAAGTTTTTGTCCACAGGAACAGCAGTACCTTGTATATAGGAGCAACTGAGCACTCTGCTTAGAAAGGAGCACTTCACTCAAACTCAGATGTATTACATTTAGAAATTCATAGTGTGGCAAAAGAAAAGAGCTCTTAAAACTCAGTAATGTTTCGTTATGTATTAAGTGCTATAAAGTCGTAATGGCTTGGCGCTTTCCCATGATAATTAAAAAAAATAATTATGCATTAATAATAACCCCAGATAGCTGATTTAAGTATTACTTACAGGTCTTGTTTTCTGCGGTGGTTTTACTCCATCAACTAGTGTCCTGATCTCGTCACGCTGACTGGTCTCCTGAGCCTGTTATCCATGGTATTTTAGTCTTGACTACATTGTCCTGGTCAAGTCAGCTATGGCACTTCAGATCACAGCATTCTGAGACCATCATCTGCAGTATCCTGGTCATATCTGCGTTGCACAGGCTGTATGTAGTGCTGTGATCAGTAGTGACTATATTCAGAAGGTTGGACTTATTCTTTCTTATAAAGTGTATACATGGGTGGCTTCACAAGCAATCTTTTCTCATAATTTGCCAGGCATCAAATTTTAAGTAGTTTTGCATACTAACTTTGGCAACCCACCTAACTTATCAAACCCAGTGTTCGGTAGTATGAGAAACATCAATAGAGTATTGTGGTGCTTTAGATTTCACTAAAATCTCTGATTTTGATGGTTGGTTGATAGTGTCAAAATTGGTTGGAATGAACTAAGAGTGAGGACAGGTTGTTATAGGATACTGACAAACAAAAATAGACAAAAGTTTGTTATTCTTAAATTACTGTATTATGCTGTATCATTTGATTTTATTGTAGTGACGTGAATAATTCATATGATGCAACAGTCTGCACACACTTGCGTTAAGTGCAGAGTCAACCATGACCTAAATTTATATATCTGGTATGGTGATGTTGGTAAAATATTTGGTTTATGATGGTTCCTGCAGTTCCCTCCATTACCCAGTTACCTGGAAATTACACCAAACATGACCTCTGCTTTGGAAAGTACTTTAAGGCAGTTAATAAATTTGGGAAGATGATTCTTCTATCAATCTTCACATTAATTTATGAAACTCTTGATACAGACAATGGAACTATGTCAGTGAAAGATTACTGCATCCTGAAACTTAAATGGTCTCAACATGATCTCAATAAACAATTTTCAACGTCTGAGAAGGTTATCTTGTCTAATGCCCCAAGTGACAGTAATTTTGTATGTGATATTACCCTTATTTTCAAAATTATCACCAAGGTTCTGGGTAATCTAGTAGAGCCTATGAAAAAAGAAATAAGAGATTTAAAGAATCTTCGAAATACGGTTTGTCATGAGGATCTTGAGATGGACGAGGCACATTTGAGATGTCGAGTGGACGCCCTCAAGTGTTTGTGCCGAGCCATTCTCGAGGCCGCTGGGGGTCTAATTGAAAAAGATCTCACATACTTGATAACAGAGGTAGAGAGTGGCTTGGAAAATCTGGTGGATGCTAAACTGGAGATTTATGACATACAATCCTACATACAGGATTTAGAATTATTTAGACAGGAAAAACATTCAAAAATGATAACTGAAGGAAGGAAAGAATTGATGGCAATTTACTCAAAAGTCAAGGTACTTAACCCCTGTTCATGGCTAAGTGATAACAACTTTGCTGACTTCACTGTTAAAAATATTTTTACCACATTGAAAATAGTAGAAAATGGAACAAACGTTTTAATGACTGACATTCTCAATGTAACATTACTGAAGACAAGATTTGTCCCTCGGGTGGTGATAATCAAGGGTGTTATGGGTGCAGGCAAGACCTCACTTTACCGCTATCTGTTGAATGAGTGGTGTGAGCGGTCTCCTGTTGTCACAGGCCTATTGGCTATAGACATTGTTATTGGTATAGAGATGAGAGCAGTAAGTTGCAGATCACTTGTACAGTTCCTCAGAGAACAACTTCTCAAGAATACGTCACGAATGTTTAACGAGTCTGACATTATTCCTGTCTTACAAGAAATGAATGTACTTTTTGCCATTGATGGCATGGATGAAGCAACCAGTCAGGGAAAAACCATAGTGAGAGAAATTGTGAACAAATTTACAGACAGCCACATCATTATAACAACTAGGCCAGAGTTCACATTGGAACTAATGCAAATGGCAGAAGATCACATTGTCTTGCAGATTGAAGGTTTCGATGATGACAGCCAAAACAAATTTGTGGAGAAAGTCTTTGCTGTTAAGTACACAGATACAGAGCGTAGAGAAAAGGAAACAAAAGAGTTCTTGTCGTACAAGTTAAGTGCATGCGAGTCACTCAACTTTCACCTAACATTACCACTCACATTGGCACTCTTGCTTGTCTTGTGGTGTGACGACTCTCAAAAGGTGACCATTGTCAGCACTATTACACGCCTCTACCAAAATATTTATGACATGTCTCAAAAGAAACTAGTGTCACGATTGGAAAGTCTTGGAGAAGGGCATGTTGTATCCCTTCACCGCAAGGTGCGGCGATGGCTGCTTGAGTTGGGTCAAATTGCTTGGTGCATGCTGCGTGAAGAGATTCTTCACTTAAGTCAAGAACGTGCTAATCTTCTCATGGACCTATGTGACAAAGAAGCCATTAACCCTATACAAACTATGTCAACGTTCTTAAAATGTGATATACAGGAAAGCTTGACTGGTACAGCCTATTATTTTTCTTTTCATCACAAATATGGGGAAGAGTTTTTAGCAGCAATGTATATTAGTGAACAAGCATTCAGTTCTGGGTCTCTCTCCTCTATTTTTGAGGATATTGACTCTTCAAGATTCCAGGAACTGATAATGTATGTCACTGGTCTCTTGACAATTAATGGTAGAATGACTTCCTCTTTAGCCAGTGAGATAAAAAGCATCTTAAGCTGCAGCATGAGAGTTTGTGTCAATGATCCCATTTTATGGTGGAGACTGCTGGAGGAGGCAGAAAAAGATCCTAAAGTGTGTCAAATTGTTGGTTCAGTCATTAACCAAGCAAAGTTGTGGGTTATAAATTCATGGGATCCTCAGGAAATGACAGAAGCTAAACTTAATTTATTACAGGAAACAGGTGCTGCTCCCAGCGAGATCGTCATCCATGTACAGTACACAACCAGTTTTGGACAGTGCTTACAAATACAGAATATTCTTAAATTAATAGGAGAGATTGGAAAGAGCAAAGTTAAGCTATACCTTGATCGTCAATTCCATACTGCAGGTGATCATGAAGATGCTAATACTCATGTTGTGTTGCTGCTCAAGCTTAATAAGCTACTTGAATTTAAGGGTCATGCAAGTGAACTCTTCACATCACAGCTTGCTAAAGCTACTTCAATTCAGTCACTATTCATTAGAATTTCTTCCCTTGAAGCCTTGTACAAATTTCATACCAGCACCAGGAAACACAGGCACTGGAAAAGAAAGTTATGGCCTTCCAGAATATGGACACTTAAATATATAGAGCTTTTCCTAGATATCAGCACTGATACTAAAGCTTCTAATATACCTAAGCTACACTATAACCAGCACCTGGTTGTCAAACTGGCTGGCATTACAGATTCAAGTGCTGTTTGGGCTGGAGAGGTACTGAAGAGACTTCACAAGCGATACAATGCAGTTATCCTTCAGGACTCTGATCTGAGCCTTTGTGGCATGAAGCGCTTTTTGGATGCTGCTGACGATGTCACTATAAAAACTATCCGTGTCATGTCCAACTTTCCTGCCACACAGAAGGAGATCAATGTCCTTTCCTCTAAGTATGATGTTAAAATTGGATGGGGAGGCACTTAGCTGCAAACGTGCCTGACAGTTCACATACTGTATGTAAACTTACTAAAATATGGCATCCATTATTGTTCAAGCCACTTTCTGAGATTGAACTTTCGTTCAACCGAACTAACTGACCTATTTGCAGTCAAATGGGCACCCTTTGGTGCAGTGGTTAACACACACTGCTTACAGGCGCGACAACTTGGGCTCATATACTAAACAGGGCGATGAGAGTTAACACTGTTCTTTGCTCTGTTCACCCCTGCACACTTAAGTAATTTGAGAATCTGATTGTAAAATGGTTGATGGAATGTGTTCAAGGACAAACCTATGGTGCCAATAACATACCAAGGTGAATTAGGTACTTTGCAACATTTGACACTCCCACCGATACAAGGTGTTCCCAATTAGTATTCAGAGGTGCCAGCAGACATGTGTATCTTGAAAAGTGACATGTTTTTTGGAAATTTTCCTATACTTAAGGCATGGTTTTGAACAATATAGGAAGATGATAATCTTCTTTTGAACAATATAATAAGATGATAATCCTATTTTGAATATTATTTTTGTGTGTGTGCATACAGATACTGTAATGCTTTATGTAACACTTGCCAGAAACCCTTGGTTAATAACAAAATTGGTTTCAATACCTGGACTAAGGCCTAAATCCCTACATTAAAACTAAAAGTTTTTTAGTGCTGGGTTATTATAGCAATGAGTTAGCCATATAAAATATGGGATGTCATCTTTGTAATTTTGTGTTAAAATATTGGCTATCAAAAAGAGTCACATTTTCTAGTACCAATCGTGTGTCCCAAACTCGTACAAAGAAAATTTGCTTTTATAAGACATTTTCCAATTAATTTAGCTCATTTGAATTTTAGATTATTTCAGCTGAACCTTTCTTACAAAATATTATTTTATTGTAGGTCTAAATTAGGTTCACAAAAATATGCTCTATATTACATAATTGTGATACATTCCAATGAAATGTTTGTAAATACTGTGCAATAGTCTGTATACTGGGAGCGTATGACTGATAAAAGAGAAACTAGTGCAAGTCAGGTTAAGAAAGTGTGAAGGAAAGTGGAAGGTTCAGTGAGGTGGCTTTTAGTGATTAGTGAAGTGGTATATAATATAAGGATTAGTGATATATAACATAAGGAGTGATAATGATATAGAAACACTAGTCTGTGACTTGTAAGACTGAGAAAGGTATGATAATACAATAACTGTTTGGCACAGTTGATTGGTGATTAGGATAAGGGTCAAAGACCACCAACAAAAGGGCAGAATTGGGTAAATGAGAGAAAGGGCATAGCATGTTTGTGATTATGAGGAGTAGCAATGAAAAGGACAAAGTGGAAGTACTCTATTTGAAGGCAAATAATACAGTACAAATTTTGCCCTTTTTTCTTTTAATTAAGATACTTATGACATGCACAGCAAATTAAATATTGTACTGCTGAAAATATTTATTAGTGTGGTAGTATTGACTCTTCTGGTGCTTCCAAGTGTCACTGAATTTTCACGACCCTGTTATCCTATAATATTGTACAGTGCTAACCTTCCAGGTGAAGTGTTAAAACATGCCATTAACAAAAATGAGTTTGATACTATCTTTAAATTTTAACAAGTCTATGCATGCACTTTGATTTATAGTGAAGTATTGTATATACAAAACCACATGACAAAATAATATTTTGAATACCGAATTCAATAAATATAATTTTATAATGCTCATGATGTTCATTCAATAACCATCTTGGAGAAGTGTTGTATGTAACATGTACATTGTAAATCATGATAAACCCTCCCTACTTTCTGACCTTTGTAGTGGGTTAAGGATCTCCTTGACCCACTCAACGGTGTTTTTCTGGGGGAGCCCCGTCGGCTCCCCGGAGCTATCCCAGGCTGATATGCTAATGTCAGACTTTGGCATCAGTCATGTGTATGGAGTTCTTAGGCCTACCGGGGACCACGGCCAGAACCGGGCCCCCTCAGAGAGGCAAGGGGAGCAATGGCCTATAGAAGCCCCCGTGTAGTTGGAAGCATTCTATGTCTGCCATCGACCGGAACAGGCACCCAGAAAGGTAAGCGCCCCAAAACAAACCCCTATTCTGGTTAAAATTGCTACCTAAAACCGAACTAGTGGATAGAACTCCCCAACCGAAAACAAGCAAACTAGTGTGACGTCACACACTGCCGTGCCGCTGTCTGCGCAGCTCCCCCCTCCCCGGGAGGGGGAAGGGGGAGCCCCAGACCCCCCGTGCCGGCTACCCACACCTCAGTTCTTGAGGCTGATGCTATAGGCGATGGTCGTGTGCTCTGGCTCCGGTGTCGCTACTGCACTGTGCTTTGTGTGTGGTGTTAGTTTTGTGGGTGCGAGAGCCAGGAGTTATCTTCAGTACTCGGGCTGCATGCGCCTAGGGCTGCCTTCCCTAGGTGCCCTGTAAGTACTGCCCTTGGGGCTTGGGGCCACCTTCCACAGGCTCCTCGGGGTCTGCCTCTGCTGGTCCGTTTTACCTTTCGGTTTTTCGGCTGCCTTTTGGGCTCTTGGGTGTTCTGTTCTCCCTTGTTACCGGCAGGTAAGAGGCAGTTTGCACTGGTAGGGGCGCAGGGTGCTGCTCAGCTTGTATTTCCCGACATCGCGGCCGGCTCTGTTCCTTGGGGTTCGCTGTCCTCTTGCGGGGTTTTGTTTTTCTTTTTGTTTTTGCCTGGTGGGGGGTTCTGTCATTTTATTGTTTGTTTTTGCCCTTCCACTGTTCTCCTCGGTGGCGCCCCCTGCTAGGTCCCCGTGAGTGTACACGTCCCTGGGGTTCAGCTTTAGAAGTTTGCTTGGTAGTTTTGGGCGCCGGTTTGCAGCACCCTGCCTGGGACTACCTGAGCGCGAGTCCTCTTAAAGTAAACGCTCAGGACCCTGGGAATCCCCTAGGGGGCGCGTGGGTCCGATGGATGTGACCCCGGAGTCCCCACTCGCTGTGTGCGAGTTTGAGGGTTGCTCGGTCCCCTTGTCTCAGGGTGACCCTCATTGTTTTTGCCTCTGCCACACTGCCTGTTGGGTCGGTGATACTTTCGACCCTGAGTCCTGTGAGTGTTGCTGCTTGCTGGTGACTCAATTTACCCAATCCTCTGATGATTCTATTCGGGTACAGGCGGCACGTGCGTTGCAGTCTAGGTTTCGTCTGTTGCAACGCGCTCGGTTGGTTGCTTCCCCGGATGCCCCGGGGCTGCCCCGCTTTGCTTTTCGAGACCCGGACTTGGGGGTGGGGGTCGCGTCGATCCTGGTTCAGTCCGCACCTCCTCGTCCTTCCCCTTCTGTTCGTTCTGGTCCCCCGCCCCTGCTTCCGGCCCCGAAGCGTCTGAGGGTTTCGGGGTCGGAGCAGGGGTTACTTGATCTCGAGACTTCCTCTCGTGGTTGTTTCAGGACCGTCATCTTATGCCTAACACTGTCGCTTCGTATCGTGCGGCGCTGGCGGAGCCACTTCAGCTTGCTTTCGGTATCGATGTTACGTCTGCGCCGTTTCGCAAGCTGTCTCGTGCATTGTTTCACCTCCGGCCTGCTCATGCGTCTCCTGAGCCGTCCTGGTCTTTGGACAGAGTGCTCGCTTTCCTTTCATCTCCTCGTTTCGTTGTGGCCCCTTCGGTCCAGGATTGTTTTTCCAAGGCACTTTTCTTGTTGGCTTTGGCCTCTGGGGGTCGGGTAGGGGAGCTTCATGCTCTCCTCCGGCGCAGGGGTTTCTGCTCTTTTGGTCGTGGTGATAGTTTTGTTCGTTTGCAGCCGTCTCCTTCTTTTCTGGCAAAGAATGAGACGGCTGCGTTCCGGAGGGGTCCATGGGTGGTTGATGCTTGGTTGGTCAGGCCGGGGGTGCATCATGTTTTGTGTCCGGTTGCGGCGCTTCGCCGTTATTTGCGCGCCACAGCTTCTGTGTCCGGGGACGCGCTGTGGGTTGATCCGGTTTCCCTTCTTCCCTGTTCGCGGGTTCGGGTCTCTCAGGTCGTCCGCAGGGTTATTAGGTCCAGCCAGCCTGCGGTCTATCCCCGTGCCCATGACGTTCGTAAGTTCACGGCTCTTGCTGCCGTCTTTGGGAATATGTCTTGGTCTGATATTCGGGCGCGGGGCTTTTGGCGGTCGAACAGGGTCCTGGCTGCTCGTTACCTTGTGAATGTCCCTGGGCCTCGTCGGGCCTGTGTTGCTTTGGGTCGGCGGTTGCAGCCAGTTGTCTCGGCTTCGAGTTGAGGGGTGAGCGACGACCGCCTCCCGGGTAAGTCCCTCTTTTTCTGTCTGTGGGTAGTTAGCTCCGGGGAGCCGACGGGGCTCCCCCAGAAAACCAGCGTTGAATGTAATGAAACGCCATTTTCTGGGTGAGTCCCGGAGGCTCCCCGGCATCCCTCCCTCCCTCCGGTCGGCGGTTTTTCGCGTTTTTGACATCCAGCCTCAAGAACTGAGGTGTGGGTAGCCGGCGCGGGGGGTCTGGGGCTCCCCCTTCCCCCTCCCGGGGAGGGGGGCGCTGCGCAGACAGCGGCACGGCAGTGTGTGACGTCACACTAGTTTGCTTGTTTTCGGTTGGGGAGTTCTATCCACTAGTTCGGTTTTAGGTAGCAATTTTAACCAGAATAGGGGTTTGTTTTGGGGCGCTTACCTTTCTGGGTGCCTGTTCCGGTCGATGGCAGACATAGAATGCTTCCAACTACACGGGGGCTTCTATAGGCCATTGCTCCCCTTGCCTCTCTGAGGGGGCCCGGTTCTGGCCGTGGTCCCCGGTAGGCCTAAGAACTCCATACACATGACTGATGCCAAAGTCTGACATTAGCATATCAGCCTGGGATAGCTCCGGGGAGCCTCCGGGACTCACCCAGAAAATGGCGTTTCATTACATTCAACGCTGGTTTTTTTTTTATCTGGAAAAGACCCATAAGTACCTTCTCGGTGAAGGTGATTTGTAACAATCCCCTGCTCCCTGTGCCTCTGAGAGGGGGCCAGGTTTTGACTCAGGTGCCTGGTGGGCCACACAGGACTAATGTGGCAATGTGACTCAGTTGGGGGATCAATCTTGGCGAGATAGCTTCAGGAAGCAACAGAGACCCTACCAGAAAGATGCATTTCATTACATTCAATGTTTTTTTATTACTATTTTTTTTTTATCCAGTTCAGTGTAACTAATATCTCAACTTGTTATCCAAGAATGGTATTACTGTACTTACAGCAACCACACTGCCCAACCCTTCTTCTGAACCTCAACCATCTGATTATTCCATCTATTAGTTTGTGAGTTCGAACATATGCACCTCCACCCACAAGAGGCCTATGTAGTTTGGCAGCTGTCCACCGAGTTACCATGTCGTGACCTCTGCACCTGCTCCGATGACACAGTGTTGTTTTTGTGCTTGCCTGCAGTGGACAAAACCCTTCCCCTTTTTCACCGTTTTTTATCTGATTATATATGCACTGCATCCTGTGACTACGGCATCAGGAAATGCAGGAAGTCTGTTGTTCAGGATTTCAACAAGCAGTGAAGCCAGAAGAAAACATGTGAGGATTTTTGAACAAAAGGTTCAGCTTATAAAGGAAGTTGAATCTAGAATTCTTAGGAATGTCATGTATGCCAAATACAAAGTTAGCAAAACCACTCATGATATATTGAAGACTAATGACAAGGTTTTTGTAAGTTATGCTAAGAGTGAGAGTGATGTAGCCATGCAGAACAGAAAATATTTTCATGCTCATGTTAAAAGTGTTGATGAGGCTGTCTGGCAGTGGTACACCCTCCCACAAACATCCTCATCAATGTGACGAATCAAAGAACCCAATGCCAGGTTGGCTGATTAAGGATTAAGGAAAAAGCCAAACATTTTCACAAGAAAATGTAGCTTTGTGATTTTAGGTGTACAGTGATGGATTACTAAGGGCTTAAGGTATGTCATAGTATTAGATGTGTGAAATTACGAGGTGAAAAGCAATCTGCAGATGCAAAAGGTGCAGAGGAATGGGTGTCAAAATTTTAGATTTTGCAGGATAATTCTTTATCTCCTGAGCAAATTGATATTGCCACTGAAACAAGCTTGTACTGGCATATGTTGGATGGGTTGTACATATGTTCATCAGGATGAAAGTAATGGTTCAGCTGGGTTCAAGGCAAATAAAGAAAGGCTTTGTGTACTTTGTTTAGTTTATTATTATTTTATACAGAGTTTTCAAAAAAGCAAAGAGATGGCTTGAGGCAATTAATGCTACGAGAGTTTTGAGAGGGCTTCCAAGAGAGCTCGAACTGAACCGTCTCGTGGTCCTCCATGTAACCGTTGACTCTCAACATCCACCTCCACGCATAATTAACACCACCATAGTCGCCTAGCCATCTGGACACTTGGTGAGTATTCATATTCACTGTTATTGTATTGCCAATATTCTGTGTATTGTTTAAAGTATCTACTAAAGCAATAATGTATTGTTGTATATTTTTGAACTGCACATAAAAAAAAAAATTCGTGCCTGGAGAGGGATTTGGTTACATGTTTGAATACCGTATTACATATCCAGTCGCATTTGGAACAGAGGATGGGAGAATGTCGAGCATACAGTATTTGAAAAATTTACAAAAATGGACTGTTGCACCGAAAAGAAAACTGTTTTATGCTCTTAATTTTGTAAAGGGTATGAGAAAGACGACAACAAAACCTAAACTCTTGTTAAGCATAGTACAGCATGCATTTACTAAACTAGGCTTAAGATGGCATATATTAGACATAGGACAGGTTAGATTTGGTTGCATAATTACCGTTCCACTTTTTTTTTTTTGCATGCCATTTGGAGTATTCCAAAAGTTCAAAATGTGAACTGTTTGTAAAACAACTGTCAAATGGACCAAAATGGACTAATATAAGTATAGTAAATATGAGAGAAGACTAAGTATAATAAGCCAGAAGAGCATTCAGTTCAGAGGTGACACACATGGTGTGATGAGAGATGGGTGTCAAAGATCAACCCCTAGAGTTTAGCATTATCCCTGTACAGAAGGATTTTTCATAGTGACAATAGGGGCAGCAGGGATGTTGACAATCTACAAAAGTGGCAACAGGGAAGACCCCTCAATTATAGACCTTTTATCATTGACAAGTGTAATAGTCAAAATATTGGAAAAATAATTAAAACTAAATGGGTAAAACACCTGGAGAAAAAGATATACAGTACTATCAGTCGGTATGGTTTTCGATCTGGAAGATCCTGTGTAATGAATGAAACTCAGTTTCTATGATCGAGCCTTAAGATTTTACAGGAAATACATTAGATGGTTAGGTTGACTGCATCTATCTGTACCTAAAAAAAAAAAAAAAAAAAAGCTTTTCAACAGAGTTCCACATAAAGAGGTTGTTCTGGAAAGGAACATATTGGAGTAGTGACAGGTAAGCTTCTAACTGATAGAAAAATGAGGGCAGTAATCAGAGGCAATGTATTTGGACTGGAGAAATGTCACAAGTGGAGTACCACAAGGTTCAGTTCTTGCACTGGTAATGTTCATTGTCTACATAAATGATCTACCAGATGGAATACAGAATTTTATGAACATATTTGGTGATGATGCTAATAGGGAAGATAAGAAACTTAGATGATTGTCATGCCCTTCAAGAAGACCTGGACAACACGGGAGACATCTCCCGTCACGCAGGATGCAGTCGCACCTCCACAGATCTCCAGTATCAGCTCTTGATACTGGTAATGGCTCAAAAGGGCCACCACTTACGGGCTATTCATGCCCGTGCCACCTTTTGGGTGGCTTAATCTTCATCAATCAATCACCTGGACAAAATTAGTATATGGAACACCACTTGGCAAATGGAATTTAATGTGAATAAATGCCATGTTATGGAATGTGGAATAGAAGAACATATACCCCACACAACTTATAAATTCTGTGAGAAATCTTTAAAGAATTCTGATAGAGATCTAGGGGTGGTTTTAGAAACTATCACCTGAGGATCATATAAAGAACATTGTGCAAAGAGCCTATGCTACAATTTCTAACTTCAGAATTGCTTTTAAATACATGGATGGCAAAATACTAAAGAAATTGTTCACGACTTTTGTTACACCAAAGCTGGAATATGCAGTGGTTGTATGGTGTCCATATCTTAAGAAGCACATCAACAAACTGGAAAAGGTGCAAAGACATGCCACTAAGTGGCTCTCAGAACTGAAGGACAAGAGCTACGAGGAGAGGTTAGAGGCATTAAATATGCCAAGACTAGAAGATAGAAGAAAAAAGAAACAATATGATCACTACGTATAAAATAGTAACAGGCATCGATAAAATGGATAGGGAAAAATTCCCGAGACCTGAAACTTCAAGAACAAGAGGTCATAGATTTAACTAAACAAAGCTGCCAAAGAATTATATGAAAAGTTCACTTTTGCAAACAATGGTAGACAGTTGGAACAAGTTAGGTAAGGTGGTGGTGGTCAAACCATCAGTAATTTCAAAGCATTATACGACAGTGCTGGGAAGACGGGACGTCACGAGCATAGCTCTCATCCCGTAACTACACTTAGGTATTTACACACGCAGTACTAAATTAGTCCAAAAATTGCACATATGTATAGAATTTGTTTGTTTAGGCAAAGTTAGGTTTATGGTTACCCTGTTCCACTTTTTGTATGCCATTTAGCATTTCAATAAGAAACTTGAACTTTTGTGGGGGACAACAAACCATATTTTGTATTTTAGTAGGATAAGTTAGATTACCTACAACTCCCTGGTACCACCAAGCCTTATCTGGATGAATTATTGCATGGACACAGCCTCACCCTTAGCTATGATGACATACATGAACTTCATGTCCCCATTAAGGTATGCTCATATGTAATTACCTTACACAAGAGCTATGCTCATGGTGTCCCGTCTTCGCAGTACTCTGTCATATAACGTTTTGAAACTACTGACGGTTTTGGCCTCCACCACCTCACTTAGCTTGTTCCAACTGTCTTCCACTCTGCAAAAGAAAACTTTCTAATATTTTTTCAGCACCTTTGTATCTTACAGTACTGTATTTAGCGCGAGTCTGTGTCCTCTTGTTCTTAAAGTTACTGGTTACAGGAATTCCTGTCAATTTCGTAGATGCCTTTTAGTATTTTGTAAGTGGTGATCACATCACCTATCTTCTAGTAAAAAATCCACACCTGTACGTGTGTGTATGTGTGATTGCAAGAATAAATAATCACAAACATGTCATTCAATTATGAGCTAGTATCCACAAGGATATAGAAACAAATCCTAGCCTGCTGATGTACTGTATTAATTAAACATTTTCAAGGAGTACAGTCTTTGAAGCACTTCAGTGTACTCCTTGAAAATGTGTTAATACATTGAAGTGCTAGAGTTTTTTCTCATGGACCTGCACTCACTCAAAATATAAGGGGCCTATAGCATGGCTCCCATGTAAGTAATTAAAAGATACCATGCCCAGAGGACTAGCATTGGCTCTCACATATGCATGTGTATTTCATTTATTGTCAACCATATTGACTTATTCTATTTGTAGGTTCATTATGCAGAATAAAGCGTGTATTTTTCTCTTCATATTGACAAGCTAAGGCAGTGTTAAAAGGTAGCTGGCAGCTCCTTTTTATATATTTTAAGGTTCAGGAAAACAAAATTGTAACAACAACATTTATTATCACAAGCATAACTAATAAATAACAAGGAAACCATGGTACAGTAATAAAATGAACAAGGTAGGAAGAATCCCATGGTAGAGCTGGATACATTACTAACTGCAATACATCAGGCAAGAGATAAACAGAGGGAACAGCCACATGATAGAGGCTAGTCCAGTGATGTAGGGAAAGAGGAGCTGCTGCCTTCTGCAGTTTCCTTTTGTAATAAAGTATAAACCATCAGGAAATACCACAGGTTCAGAAATAGCACATCAGGGAAGAAAAGAACATATATAGTAGAAAAAAGGACATAATTGTAAAGAGTATGATTGGTACTAGATAACAGAAATGATGGGCATATGACTGGGAATGACAATGAGGACACATGGCTGGGGAATAACATAACGATGATGGGGCACATGTTTAAGACTAACATGACAATGAAGGAGGAATTAATTACCCAACTGAAATAGGTTGGGCATAATATAGCAGGGAATAATATGTTAATATGATATGACTTGGGCACATGGTAAGGCTGTAAGGCAGGTCACAAGGTAGAAACAGGTCCACACTTTACAAGCAATCACTACCCGCCAAATGTAACCCAGCCTTGTATATTAACAATTAAGTAGGGGATTTACCAGGTATGTCTTTATGAAATACATATAATAACCACACCTACAACAAATGTGAAAATCAAGTCAAACTATTACACATATCTACACAATGTTGGTATTTATGTCACAGTTGGTTTCTCTTTATTCACCACCACACACAGCACAGTTTAGCATAAAACAGTTTGCAGTTTTATGCATACTACCTATAACAGTAATAAATAATTAAATTGAGTATTTGCAGTACATAACACCATGTTAATGTCACCCAACATTAATACTAAAGGATTTGTGTCCTGTATAGGACAGTTATCAAATATCTTGGGGAAACCTATGAAAGTGCTCTTCTGCACTCATTGATACCCTTTAATAGCAGATATGCAACAAATGACCTTTGATAGCATAGCATATTGACCTTTGATAGGTCATGGGAAATACGATTTAAATTTTCAGGAAATTATCAGCACTAAATGTCCCATTGCAAGATACAGAACTGCTTATCCAGCGATAGTGTTGAAGTACGAGTGGCAGTGATAAAAGATGTGCACCTTTTTCCTATACAGTTCACCTGGTAGTGCACTACTTACAGAATATACAAAATCAATCTTGATTATTGCATTTTTTTGTTATCCTGAGTAACACAGAAAAAGTAATCAATGTACAGTATATATGTACTGTCTTGTCCAGAGATTTACAATCTTGATCCATGACCATATAATTATCAGGGAACAATAGAGTTTTTAATAAATCAAAACCTAAAATGAGACTTGGATGGATAAATTGGTCCCAGCTGTATACTAGTATACCTCAATTTGTTCATAATTTGTTTACCAATTATATTTACATGGTTAAATTTAGAACAGAAGGCTATGTAACAAAACATTTGGGTAATGAGAAGAATTACACAGTGTACATAATTTCTACTATAATAAAGTACAAAACGTGTTGAAAATGGAACGATGAAAATGGAAGTAAAGTATCCAGGGAGCCGGTCGGCCGAGTGGACAGCACGCGGGACTTGTGATCCTGTGGTCCTGGGTTCGATCCCAGGCGCCGGCAAGAAACAATGGGCAGAGTTTCTTTCACCCTATGCCCCTGTTACCTAGCAGTAAAATAGGTAGCTGGGTGTTAGTCAGCTGTCACGGGCTGCTTCCTGGGGGTGGAGGCCTGGTCGAGGACCGGGCCGCGGGGACACTAAAAAAACCCGAAATCATCTAAAGATAACCTCAATATGATGATTATGGTGTTGGGGGGGGGGGGGGGGATTGTATGTGCATGTGTAATTACCCAAGTGTAGTTACATGATGAATTACACTGGTGGTGTCCTCTCTTCTTGGTTCTCTGCTGTACGACTCAAACTACTGACAGTTTTGGCATCCACCACCTCGCTTATTCCAGCCACCTAACATTGTTTGCAAAATAGAACATCCACTTTTTTTTTTTTAAGCTTTGTTGCCTTAGCTTGAGTCTATGTATGACCTCTTGTTCTTGGAAGATGAACGTTCCAAGAATTCTTCTTTGTTAATTTTGTAAGATTCCTGTTACTGTTTTGTATTTGGTAATCATCACCTTTCTTCTAGCTTTGGTATATTTAACTTTAGCCGCTACTCACAGCTCTTGTTTTTTCCAGTTCCGGAAGCCATTTATTGCATGTTTTTGAACCTTTTCTTATTTTCCAGTTTATTGATGTGCTTCTTGAGATATGGACCCCATACAACCGATGTGTGCGTGTGTGTATGCACAGCACGAGTAAAATACACAAACAAAATGTAGGTAATCTTGTACATGATTTATTATCAAATTTATTGTTTTGAAAAATTTGGGTCATTATGCATGTTCATTAAAACATAAGGCTTATTAAGCTACTACTGTGCAGTCCCTTATTTTACTGCTTGTCCATGTTACTTGAAATTCTACTCATTACCTAAACTTTTGTCCAAGCTATCAATTGGATCATAGGATGCAACATGTGCTTTAAGAAGTCTGCTCAGTTAAAATTTTAAATAAAATAAATTATGTCAACGTCTAACAGTCACATTAAAGTAAAAGCTCCACTAATAAAACCCAGATAAATGCCTGGACCAAACTAGGATCCATTGCCCAGGCTGCTCTCACAGCCTCTAGAAAACACATTCTTGATGGAAAATCTGTTTTATTCTCTCTTACTCTGGAGCCTGTATGGACTGAAGAAGTCTATGATGGGGTGGTAGCCATAGTTGACTTTGTCACTGTTATCTTTGGCCTTAGCCGAGTCACGAGGATGTGGCCTCATCCTGCTGCTGGGGGGATGGCTAACCTCCTGAGATTGCTCCTCCACTTCCTGCATTCTGCTGAAGGTGAAACATTATTATTAGGGTTTTATCAGCTAATGATGAATTTAGGGCAAGTAAATGAATTTACCTAATTCCCCCTATTCAGACAAAGGACTTACGGTAGATGTAGCTTGCAAGGTTTTATTAAAGCATTTGACCAGGTACCACATGGGAGTGGCGAGGAAATTACAGGCACATGGATTAAATGGGAGAATACTGTAATGGATAAAGGTTGTTCAAACATGGAAAACAAAAGGTTGAGCTAGATGGAAATGAATCTGACTGGGAAAATGTGCTAAGTGGGGTGCCACAGGGGGTCCATTTTAGGGCCAGCCCTTTTTGTCATATACATTAATGACAGTTGAGAATATTACAAACCACATCAAATTTGCAGACACTAAAATCTACGGTAAAGTGGAAAGTGAAAGTGATATTGAGGTCTTTCAAAGAGATCTACATGAACACAAATGGTCAGATGACTGGCAAACGCTTTTTAATGTCGATAAATGCAAGACCTTGCATGTGGGGCATAACAATCCACCTCACAACTACATATCAAATCGACAATCTTTAGATGTATGATCTATTTATTATATTACAGTACAGGTATTATAATATATAGTTAAAGGATTTATTTCCTACCTTTAAAATAATTATATATAATAAGCTTATGGTAAAGTTATCAGAAAGATGGGCATCAGATGTTTGGACAGAGGTGCAATTTCAGTGCTTGTGGTAGGTGCTATTTTCCCTAAACGTTTCCTCTGGTGTTCCAAGACCGCTGGTGGTCAATGCTGCCACCTTGTGGGGCACATTAGTGACTGACCAGTGGTTCGACCCAGATAATGATTGTTGCCAATGGTTACCACGTAATTCTGTTTGTGTGTGCTCTACCTTTCTGATATTTTCTCCGGTGAAGGCTGAATATCAAACCACGCCAGGAGGTAATTATGAAAGAATAAAACGAAGAACAAAGGTACAGGTAAAACAATATGCTGAAAATAAAGGACAATGCACAGGTATGTAATAATTTTCACTATGAAGGGAACTGGAGCCCACCCTGGTGATTAAGTACCTGTGACTGGTGACATTGAACTGTACCTGCAAGTAAGGAAGGAGTAGTGGGAGGTGAAGTGCAACTTCCTGCAGATCAGTGAATGTAACCTCTCATTCAAGTACAAAAGGTGGAGTTACCACTCACTTGCGTAGGCCATGGCTCGATTCATCTCTGGCAGGCCAAGGTCCCGGTTGCCTGGATCCTTCGGAGCGCTGACCAGGTCTTCTCCTCCGCACTGATGGCCCACCTTCACTGTTCCGGGGATTATCTGGGCCTTGTGCTACCAGAGGTAGTTCAGCAATATTAAAACCACCATATAACATACATTAGTCATGATAGTACGAAACATGTTGTAGTTTAGTATTTCAAAAAAATGTTATAAATTTTGTTTATAAGTGCTGTAATAAATACAAATTTTAAATTGGCTGTATTCTTTATCTTTTCTTATGCTGCTAATTCAAAGCAGAAAAATTCACTACCTATACCAGCCCTGGGTTAGGGTGGAAGTTTGCTGGTTAAGATACTCAAGAAACCAGCCCGATAATATTTGTATGCAGTTATCATAAACCCACCTTAAGCCATCATTTGAAAGTTTTTGTAAATACAAATTTGTTATAATGTGGACAACATGAGTATTTCATCTGGGATATGTCACAGAATTTTTATGATAAAAAGGAAAGTCTGATAAATATCTTCCATACTTCTCTATTCCAGTAATAATAATCGTATTCAATACTTACTAGGTGTAATGCTTTATTAAATTCTCAGCATTAATGCTATTTGAATTTTAAAAATGTGTTTACTCTTGCTGCTGTGAAATGACTTAAGATGCCTCATGCAAACAAGCAATTTTAAAAAGAAAACCATTTTGCCTGGTGATGAAACTTGGCTAGTGCAGGTATGAGGAAATGAGGACATATGTCACTATTGAAGAGGGAGTCTGGGCAAGTTACTAACCTGGAGGAGGTGTGCCACTATCTGGGTCCTCATTGCTCATATCACGTGAAGGTGCGGGTACTGTCTGGATGACATGCTCTGACCCAGCTGCATTCTGGTGTTTGTTGAGTGGTGGGAAGACATAGGCATACCCCTGGATGTGGCATGAACAGCAGCTTGGTACCTGTAATAGTAACCATTTTAAAAGACCAGGTACACTTATTACAGTACTGCATTCTAATGTGTCACCTCATAATTTAGTAAATTGTAACCCATTATGTACTACATATGATGCATGAATTCAGTGTAGTACATTCGACGGGTACAAATGTATATGCAGTATAATATACAGTAGTACATAAACTCCTGAATATACAAAATTAGGTATTAAGATTTATATATGTACAAGAGTCTACAGGAAGCAAATAAAGGGCCCCTCAGTAGGATAGGCTTTAAAATAAATCAAAGAACTACCTAGCCATTTTGTAAGTAATAATTTCATAGATTATAAAACATTAAGTATTATTAATATAATAATTTAAACATACTTTAGTATATAATTTGAAAAGTTGCAGAATTTGAGTCACCTTAAAGATATCCATGTGGAGGCCCCGTCCATCATCCCAGGAGAGTAGTCGATGGTAGTTGTAGACCTGGTTGCAAGTGGCACGGTAGTGATGCGACACATAGCTGCACGCTCCACCAGGCTTCCTGCAGGGGTGATGAGAGTTAAACACTTGCCCTACATGTGTCTTGCTTTCTGAGACCCCCCTTCCCCCCCCCCCCCCCCCCCTCTGGTTTAAACCCTGACTCATTTCACTTGTGTGGATACACAAGTGAATTACATACAACAAACTCGTTATTTTTGCAAGTGTCTTCCTGCATTTTTGCTGCTTAACATAACCAACACAAAAGAGGAAGTTTATTAGATGTTAAAACAATTCCCTACTTGTACCAAAAGTTATAATTTTTGTAAAATCTGTACAAGTGAAATAAATTTAGTGCCAGTTAGCAAGTTGAGCCCAATACTGACAAATACAAGTTTTCATTCTTTTCCGTGTCAGCTCAAGAGGATACAGTTAGTAATTTAGTACACAAAGTGAATGTATTGCAGCTAGATTTGTATGTGTAATTTCCCCATTGTCTACATAGTACCTTACAATAAAACCTATAGTTTTATAAGGATGACACTATTTGCTTGGGGGGGGGAAACAGTATTGTACTTTATTCCTCTGTAATCTCATGTTTTTCAAACATGTTAGTGTTTATATTACTGTTGGGAAAATGGGGGTAAACTACCGAGAGGACAAAACCCACCTTTTCAGCCCCCAAATGCACATTATGGCAAATAAAATTTTGTATATTGCTATCAAAATTATTTTACCTTTGTCTGGGCATTCTGGGCAAAAATCCACCCTTCATAGACTCCCACTACTGTGCCAAACTATAGCATCTAGAATAATTTGCTTACTTTTCCCCAAACTTGCCATCATTTTCTCTATAATTTTGTGTTTGATTTATTTGTGGACTATTGTAAAATGCCCCACACAGCATGTAGCCCAAGAAATAAATGCAGCAGTGGTAGGATTAACACACAATACATCTCTGCCTTTACTGGATATATTTTACTAAGCTCAAAATAAAGGTCAGATCTCAGTCTAATATTATACTGTACTGTAAATGATACATCAAGATTCATTGAAGAGAATCTATGTACAAACATGCAATGTACAGAATTAGCATTTATGATTTATGCTTACCATTGATGTCATAATTCCTTTTACATTATAGATTTCACATGATCCTTTCCAATATTTATACAAAAATGCATAGGGCATGGGAAGCCTCTCTCAATCATCAGTTTTACTCCATATCACACTAGTGTCAAGAGATCCACTGGTACTTACATGCACTTCTCCATGCGGATGGTCTGGGAATACTTGTCCATGTTTACAATGTACTTCCATGCTCCCTTAGAGTTCCTGGCTCGCTTCGGTCTGGCATATTTCACTTCAGCTGGGCACAAGAATCCACCATCTTGAGCAAAGTCCCGATGAGCATGGTTGATTGTGTCTGCCCGCCTAAACAAAAACGGTAACTTTACTACAAGTCGCTTCCAAACAAATTATAGTCAGGTAAGTTTATAAATACATATTTTAATTAAAAATTAATGATATTTGTTTGCTCTATATTAAATTTGCAGATGTAAACTAACAATAATGTTTCATATTTTATCATGGAGATTTAAATGATCCAGTATGTACTCAGCTGATAAAAAGATTGCAGCATGGTGTACCTGTTACCGAAATAATGCTGATAGTCATACTTTGTCTCCTGGGCTGATGTCACTCCATCCACCAAGTCGTCAGCACTCTGTGACCTTACCTCAGCCATCATGGTATCAGCACGGGATGGGTCACGTACCAATGATGACAGAATTGCCTCACTGCAAACACCACACCATCAGACACTTTATGAAATAAATGTTTGATTATTTTAATACAAAAGACTGATGGAATAGGATAAACACACTACAATACTGTGTAACTAGAATGTGAGGAAGGAACTTACTGTGGATATTCTTCAGTGTCAAGACAGATGTCATCTGTGTATTTGACACAGCTTCCCCCACTACCAAAGGAACCAAATCCAACACTGCTAAAGGCTCCAGGCCGGCTGTGAGCTGGCCTGGGTGGACGAGGTGGTGGTGGTCTTGGCCTGACTGGCTCAGGCCGAGGTTGGAACCTGGTTGGAGAAGGGCGGGGAATATGTCGAGGCGGAGAGGGCCGATGATGTGATGGTGGCCGGTGACCAGAGGGTGGCGCTCTAGCTCCTTGATTTGGAGAGCCCAAATCCCCAAAGTCATTCTTGTTGTTGCCAAATCCCAAATTACCACCAAATTCATTAAAAGTAACTGGTCCAAAATCAGGTCCAACCGTGTTACTAAAGTCTGGGAGAGGACGTGTTGACTGACGTGATGGGGCAGAGGGTACCTGCTGGTGTGGTTGGTGATGAGGGGGAAATTTGACCATGGTAGGACCTGGTACGAAGGGTAGCGGCTTCAGGATTTTGTCTGGCACTGGCACCTCTGAAATCCAAAAAAAACACGTCAGATTTGTGCTGCTGAAAGAGAAACAGGGTTACTTTTTTGCCTGTGAGGACCAACAACACCCAGACCTGCCACCATCTGTAAGCAGCACATGCAACAGCGGTGGCAAGATTAGCTATTCCAATGTTCTCAGGAGCAAGGGTTTTCAAACTTTTTTCAGAAGCTTGTTTGGGATTCCATGTGTATTTTTGTGAGATGGGGAAAGAGGTTGGATGAAATATTTATCATCAATGATTTACTACTGTTTTGTGTTCTCAATGAAAGTACAATACTGTACTGTATTAAGAACCAATTTAATTCTTATCAGTCTTGCATACAACAGTTAAAATAACAGTATAACAAAAATTATTTTTAACTGGAAACAGATCAGAATTAACACAATTTGCAGAATCTATTTTGTTTGTAAAAATTTACTTATATTTCTACCAATTTGAAAAAGTGATAAATTTGGAAGTAAAAATTTATTGATTTAGCTTTCAATATGATCAGTCTCTTTGAAATACATATATATATTATGCCTTTAGCAACACATCTTTAAGAATGCCTTCCATATATGACAGCAAATAAACTAATATAGAAATAGGTTCAATGCATAAGATTATCTGCACTTGCAATTAACAAACTGCTCCAGATATTGAACCATGCAAAGAATAGTGATCACATCCAAACAACCAATTCATTTGATAAAATATAAATAGATGGTTGTACTTATGCTTATGGTAAACATGATTAACTATTTAAATAAAAATTCCAGTGAATATAACTAATACAGTATACATGTATGATGGTTCAGTTTCTTCAAAAAGTTTGAACACCCCCCGCTGTATAGTACTTTGTGCATCTCCACACAGTCACCTGTATCATTAGTGAGATGGCATAGTTATTTACTATATGATTGCATTATTATTGGAGTTAGCATTTAGTCATTTGAATGAGATTTGTGATATACAAGTGTTAATTCAAGCAGCACTGGTAAATATATGCTTAATTACAATTTTTATTATTAATTTTTTCATACTTATTCAAAAGAAAGCTTAAATATTTACACAAAAATTAAAACCTTATGCTTAGTTTATTTTGAATTGTACATTCCCAAACTTTGCTTACATTCATTCTTTCATCATTAATACTACCTTCCCAATTGCATGGGTTAGGAAGGCACATGACCAGGGAAGAGAACACAATACTGGAAGCTGTGATTAATGATCTAAATGACACCCATCCATTCACCATATCTTCCACACAATAGTAATCAGCACAAGATGTTTGCAACAAAAGATAAAAACAAAACAAGATTAGTCTTCAAGATTAAGATTTTTTTACCTTGTTAGGACCCAGTACTCAAGTTTTGGGAGCTGCATAGATGCCAGGTGTCAGTAATGCTAAGCTAAGAGAAAGCATTTCTTGCCATATCACAGCACCAGCGTCCTCATAGCACAGTTCACCCAGGTATTGCACATTTTATACACTTATTCATGACATACTGTATTAGCATTTGTTAAGAGTTGGAGATTTGTAGTTATATAATATTTCTTTCTCTGTATTAGAAAAAGTGAATACTGTAATATACTGTGTGTTTGGAACACTAGACATACCAATGGTGTGTGAGCAAAGGTGACCAAAAATTATGTTTACCTGAATTTACAAAAGGAATACTATATCTCTAGTGGCCTCGATAAGGACAGTAAGCCGCCAGCTTGTCAAAGATCTCACCATTTGTTCTAATGATTTTGTCAAGCTGGATTTTGAAATAAGGTAATGTTATAGCATTTACGGCTTAGGTGGGTAGATAGTTCCGCGAGTTTATAGCCATGGCTGAAAAAGCATCTCCTGTTTAAGATCTATTTTTTCAGAAATAGCTAGATTATTTTAAGTGCGAGTTTGATGTGTAATGAGCATGTTTGGTATGCAAACTGCTTTGCACAGGGCAAATAGGCTTTCTGCAGTTTCCACTCGTCTCATGTTCTTATGCTCATATATTTATCCAGGCAACTTGATGAAAAGTTCAGATATAATACAAACAAGGCACAACGTGTCCAGCTAAACACTCAACAACATAGGATTGAAAACATATACTTTTTCACCCATAGGGTTATAAATCCATGGGACCACCTACACGCCATAGCTGTATATGCCAAAACACTTGAATTTTAACTTTCAGCTTGAAAAAAACATCACGACAAATATGGGGGGTGTGGGTTGCTTTGGCAAGCCGTCGGCTACCTGTTCCCATCGAGTTGTCCTCAGGTAAATTCAGGTAAATTAAAATAGAAAATAAACTGGCAGTTGTGAACAAAATTATGAATTCATAATTTACATCTCATTGACGTCAAACTCCCCACTGGACAAAATATGATGTACTGTAAATCATAGTGAGTCACAAACCACGTTTTCTATGCATGGTCATCGGTTAAGTTCCGTTTGGGTAATTTAGTATATAATTTTTGTGACTAGGAACTCTAGAGGACGGGCTGTGGTCAAAGGGAATGAGGTCCAACCTATACCAGATTTAACGTACATGCAGCTAGGGCTCTTTATTGATCAGTATTTCAAGTATTGAAATAATATACTGATCAGTAATCAAATGCATAAAAGTAGCTTTACTGGAGGAAGTGAGGTGATACCGGAGTGGAGTTTCATGCTGCAATGGGTCGACCAGAGTCACGTAGCAATTAGTCAATACGAGGAGGACCTCCAAAATTCATTATCTATACACCATTCGGCCATGTTCTCTCAATCTATTACAGAGGAATGACTAGTTGCTAGTCAAAATTAAAATATTACACTGAACCTTCTTTACATTTGAACAAGTCATGAGTAAGTGTGGCAGTGTATCCCTGTGCTGACCCCAAGCCATTACTGCGCCACTTACCTTGAACTGCTCCACTAACTTTATACTACAGTATATACTAGCACCATCAGTGTCAACCTACTTCTGTTACTCTGGATGCTGGCCTCACCTTGGGGGTTATACTGTCTCTGCAAGTAAACAGCAGTGATAGATTTACATGGTGTAGCCCGAGTACACTCACAGCTGGCACTCACAGTAATGTGGCAGTACTTTAACAATGTAACACATGTACAGTATTATTTACATGGCACTTATATACCATTACAATGTGTTGCAACATTACACACCTACAGACGAATATATTTTAATATATATTGTGATGGTAAGCATGTACTACACTACATAAAAATAGAATTTCACAGAAAATTGGTTGTGTAATGTATCTATTCAACATTTATAATGAAAAGCTTACGCAATAAGTTTCATGTGTTCATATACACGTTCAACAGTGTGTTAGTAGTAGGAATACAAATTAATTGTTCTACTCACTTGCATAATTCTTGATCAATATACGAGAGAACAGATCAGTTTAGTTGTCAGACAAAACTTGACAGGTCTATATGACTATCTTTACTATACTTGTACTACAACAGTTTAGTAACAAATTGCTACAGCGGGTGTAACACGCGCGTCAATAAACATGTTAGTATACCATGTTATGATGCCAGCCAATAACCTAACCAATTTGTGCAGAATAGTTTTGGCACTCTCCACATCCCTCACACAGGATACTCCAGTCACATTTCTACATGTTCGAAAACATTTGTATTCTACCTTATGCATTAGTCATGATCGCCGCAATCTTCTGCAGCTTTAGCTATCAAACCTGCCATGAAAAAAGTTTAATAATTTCTTTCTACTATATCCCCATTTGAGAAACTACAATATATGCGTCAGACTATAAAATTTACCCGATTAGTTTACCATATCAAATCTGGTAAACCTGCCTCTTCCGTTAACAATTTCCCATTTCTAACTAAATTGCTAGCCAATTAATTGAAAAGATCAGTGCAAAGAAGATTACGTGCATAAGAATCTTAAATTTTCCAACATAAAACTAACACTCCTCCAGCTCTAGGAGGAGCTGGAGGAAATAATTTTTAAGATATATGAAGGGTCTTAAATTTGCCTTCAACTAAATTATATACAGTATCTAATACTTAATGTTAAATTAATTCGAGTCTTGAAGATTTTGGTGTAAGCTCGGGGGATCATTAATAGCGGTAACTTCCTTTTCTTTCCTTTCTAATGGCTGGTTGCCCTCGAGTGACAATTAACCAACGCTGATGGATTGCCTCTGAAGAGAAAGTTCTCACCGAATGTCAAGTCCAACACCGCCGAAGATTCAAAACGCATGATGTATGTGTCATCGACACACATACAGCTGTAAAAGATATTTATATTGTTCAATTGTACTGTATTTGTTGCATATTGGGCTAAAGTCATGTCTACGTTGTGGTCGTGTTGGTCTTAAGTAGGTCCCACCTGCAGCCATCGCCGCCTGCAGCAGCTCCTCGGCGGGCGACAAGATGGTGTCGTTGTTGCGCTCCTCAGCAACCAGAGCCTCAGCGACGGCCGTCTCCAACTGTCTCTCCGTCTGCGTCTCCGTCTCTATCTCTATCTCGCCTGTCACGTCCGCTCTCACTGCCGACGACAGCAGCAGCAACAGCATGAAGTTCTGTTGATGAAACAGTATTACACCAACTCATTGTGTCATGCCGGGCTTCAGCTTCAAATTTGATTACTATTTTATCAACAGATATTATATTATCAACATCATGCGTGTTAGTGGCTTTGCAAGAATGTAAAAACACCAGCGTTATGTACTCTCTCAAACCCAATGTACTTTTAAATAAAATAACACATTCTCGGCAGCGACTTCAACGTTGAGCTGTCAACAAAATGACGCTCATATGACTTGATATTTTTCTGAATTGCATGAAAACCTGTAGGCAATACCTATGATTACTAAGCCCACTAAGAACTCATTTCACCAGAAATAATCAACGACAGATCAACTGTTCACAATCCTACCTTATCACAACTAATACTAAAGCACTAGAATTATTACTATTATGAATAACGTGGCTAAAGTATGTTGACCAGAACATACTTTGTTCTTTGGTCCAGGACGGACCGAAACGTCGTCGTCCCTTCACCTTCTAGTGTGTGGTCTGGTCAACTTACTTTAGCCACGTTATTGTAACTCATCGCCTGCAAATGATATACAATAATTACGTGACAGTGATGAAAGGCATAAGACAACGTATCACTACAGCGATGCTGTTAACTTACCAACCACGCCGAGGTCATGACGACGAGCAGGTCTGTTCTGACCGGACACCTTCCTGACCCTTCTCTGGAGGTCTACACAATCTGCAAACACGCATTTATGTCAGAAAAGGTTTACAGTAAACTGAAGATACTAATCCAAATGATGTTGGTTTACGAACTACTGCCTAAAACACGCTTACCACCTGTCTCTCACCTGACATCTGTGTAAGATGATAATGACTAACCTTTTTCCTCTGAATTTACCTGAAGGCCACTCCTCAATGAGGACAAAGCCGGCGGCTTGTCGAAGGTCCCCCTCCCACATTTGCCTTGATCTATGGCATGGTCCCAGACAGGAGGAGTCAGAATTATGAGGCAAGGTAATTATCAAAAGAAGGCACCAAACCGGGAAGGCTATGTAGCACCATCAAAGTGCGAAATAATCAGAGGGCGCTAAACATCACCAAGAATGCCAATACGAGAACAAAAACGCATAAGGCGAACGATATCAAAAGTATCCGATTCACCTAGAATTCTATCGAGGGACGGTCGGAAAGCAAGACTCACGCTCGTCCTGCCAGAATTATGAGATACAGCAGGAACGTTAGTCTTGTGTCTGGATATAACTTCAAAAACGCGTCTCCGCCGGTCAGAAGAGTGGCTCAACGGGGCCACAACTAGCGTCCCTCCGCCCCCAAGATAACACCCGAGAAGGCGCCAACAATGGGCTGTTGCCGACTCCAATAACTTGTGTATTTCGTAACTGTCACGTGATTTTCCGTACTAAAGATGACCGAGTCGTCCCTGTCCTTACCAAAGTATAGGCCTAAAAAGAAAACTGTCCTTGACAACAATCACAGTACATAGCAAGCAACAGTGCGGAATTTACGCACAAGCATTGGACGCCAGCAGGTTTACACACCGCCAGCCAGATACGCCAGCAGGTTTACACACCGCCAGCCAGAGACGCCAGCAGGTTTACACACCGCCAGCCAGAGACGCCAGCAGGTTTACACACCGCCAGTCAAAGACGCCAGCAGGTTTACACACTGCCAGTCAAAGACGCCAGCAGGTTTACACACTGCCAGCCAGAGACGCCAGCAGGTTTACACACCGCCAGCCAGAGACGCCAGCAGGTTTACACACTAAACCGTCACACACACGTTACTATTTCACTTGTCAATCTTGACAGCATAATGTAGGTAGCATAAAAGTCCCTGAATTACCAGCCTGATTTTGCAATCAAGTATTGTTTTTCCTGCTTGTGAAGGGCGCAGCATGAGAGCAGGTACTCACCTAGTTGTGCTTGCGGGGGTTGAGCTTTGGCTCTTTGGTCCCGTCTCTTGACTGTCAATCAACTGGTGTACAGATTTTGGTATCTATTGGGCTCTTATCAAATCTATATTTGAAACTGTATGGAGTCAGCCTCCACCACATCACTGCCTAATGCATTCCATTTGCTAACTACTGACACTGAAAATTGTATTTCTAATATCGCTGTGGCTCATTTGAGTACTAAGTTTACACCTCTGTCCCCCATGCTAAATAGTAGTTCTTTCTCCAGCCCGTCAATTCTTCTATCGTCCTGCATGCAATTCCCCATATTTAAAACTGATTCAGGCATTAACAAAAGACCTACCTTCAGCGTATTTCAATTCATTGTAAATGGATGTTGCAATACAAAAGTTTGTAACTAAAGTGATGTTATAGTTATAAGGTGAACAGGTTAGAAGTAATTGTTAATGTAAAAATCTCCGCTAAGGTCTGATTAAGAACTTTTTCCGCCATCGCTCACAGGATGAGTATGGGGGGTGCACAATAGACCACCGCCTCCAACAACCTCATTCCACCCAAGTGTATCAATGCCTTGTTATCATAGCATGAACCCCAAGTGCATCCATGTCTACCATGGCTCGTCCATTGCCAACACTTGTGTGTTCCAATACTGCCGTGAAAAGGTGTAAACATTGTTCTACGCGATGGACCAGACAGCTGCACCATATCTAGTCTATACTTGATAATTAACACTGTCTTCAAGTACAATGGGGGCTTATGCACTGCGTCCTGCCACGATATATATATATATGGAATGGAAGAGCCTCTGGGGACACCTCCCCTTACCAACCCCCAGGCCTTCAGCACCACGCATTACAGAGGTACTAGGAGCCAACAGGTGGGCGAATTAGAGCAGCACATTCTGAATGACCGTCATCGGCACTGGGAAGGAGAGGGTAGTTAGGCTCGAGTTTATTGGTTGTGTACATTTTTAAGAGGTATTTTGGTGGGTTAGGCGAGTTCCACCGTGATGAGTGGCGGTGTGTGCAGCGAGAGGCTTGAGCATGTTGTCTAGGGTGGTGATGGATGGTGCCGTGTGTATGGAGCCATAGCGAGACCATCTGGCCCTACCACCTGTTCCCCACACACAGTACAGGCAGGCGCAAGCATGGGATGTAGGCCAGCTTGTGGTTGCTCCACATGCTTTTTTTTCCCCCTTTTAAAGAATGTGTTTGCCCCTCTCACGCTGTGTGAGAGAGAGCCCACTATTTAGGTGGGAAACCACTTTAAAAGTCTTAGTGAAGAAGTGGTTCAATTTTCATCCAAATTGTTAAAACATTTCAGGTGAGAAGTCTGACACTTCCCCTAGACTCTAGAGTTGATGCCTTCCCTTCCAGACTCTCAAATCAAATAACAGGTTTGCAATGCTCAAAATCAAGTATTTTTATTAAAATCTAAAAAGTTTGTAAAATAGCATCACTGACGTTTAAAACTCACTGTTTACATTACAGTTCAAAATCTTACTGGGCGCAATTCCTTAACTGTAGCCTCTGTTTAACGCAACAGTAAAATGTGTACTTGGATGAAAAAAACGATTCTTCGCGGCAGGGGATCGTATTCTAGGGACCTGCCCGAAACGCTACGCGTACTGGTGGCTGTACAAGAATGTAACAACTCTTGTATATATCTCAAAAAAAAAAAAAAAAAAAATCTTATTCGATCGACTTGAGGATAGTATGAAAATGTTTGCCATTAAATTTCCGTTTTCTCTAATAGGCACATGGCCTATTTAGGAGAACGGCATTGTATTGTAACTTAGTGGCGAGACTATTGAATTGTTGACACAACGAGGGTAATCGCCCACTTCACACTCTTGGTGTGGGCCGCGATCATGATTCTACATTTATATGCATATGTCTGTGTAGGGAATTTTATTGCGAGTTCAGTGATATAAAATTTAACGCTGTAGGACTAATGTGGAGCTGACAACAAACAAAAGAGTATGAACATTTTGTTGCTGTTTGGCGTCACGGCGAGCGATCTACGTTTTTATTTATTTCGTGGTGGGATAGCTAATGCTTTGGTGACATTTTATACATATGATCTTTTAGAGAATTTTATTGCCAACACACTGATACCAAAATGAAATATGTAGCGCGAGAATTGGTGTCAGGAGAGTAAAAAAGATTACACACTTTTTGGTATTTACGCTCAAGAGCCCAAAACGCCGCGCGCACAATGCGCTCTTATAAATCACGAGCGCCAATCCCCTTAAAGTGATAATTATTAAGAGGGCAGGAAATTCTCGTAAAGTTTAAAAACGTCATGAAAAACGTTAATTGAAAGTGTCCTCTCGTAACATAACAGACTAAACTGGAGGACCCAAACAGATAACGGGACAGTACATCACTTTCGTGAGCCTATTTAATTTCAAATTACGTCAGTTTTCGGCCATAGCGCGCATACCAGCGAAAAGCAACGTTATTTGGAGAGGACGGGTTGACGCGAGTGACTGACTACTCCCGCTTGGTCGTTCATGTTCCCACTGACGGTGACGCCACACTTCCGGCTGTTACGAGAAACTTCAAACTGCAGTTCTGCTTCACGTGTTAAAGAGGAATTAGGCTAGCGACCCAGAAACAAGTTTAAATTTTAAAATGAAGCTTTCAAACGTTCCGCAAGTGCTATTGTACCCAAATATGTAATACAAAACAAAACAGTTGTGACGTGGCCACTCCAATCAACCCGTCCTCCTAATAGAACGTCGCATTTTGACGTATACTCTACCCAAGGTCAAAAATTTTCGTAATAGAAAATGGTATTGGCTCACGAAATTGCCATACTGTCTCGTGTTCTATTTTGGGTCTTCTGGGAGGTTACGACAAGGGCACTTTAGTACGACAGTTTCTTGACGTTGAGAAATCTTAGGAGGACGGGCTGGTCCAATAGCAGCCCCCCCCCCACCCCTTGAGGTGATGGGCTCCTCAAGCCATCACCGTAGTCCTTGTTTTATTAGCAACAAATTCAAAACCTTTTCCGCTTTATCTGAATTCAACGGTACTCATTTCTACTTTCCAATTGCCTATTATATCAATATATGTACGATGGTCCACAACCAGAGGTCACGACCGCTCCGCAGGGTGCAGTCGCACCTCCACAAATCTCCAGCATCAGCTATTGATACTGGTAATGGTTCTAAAGGGCCACCACTTACGGGCTATTCATGCCCGTGCCACCTTTTGGGTGGCTTAATCTTCAATCAATCGGTCCACATCGTTACTATAAGCACCATCTAAACAGAAGGATGGGATAAATCAAAACAGGAAATTACCTACTCACTATATATTGATAACTGCAACTCTCTGAACTCTAAATAATAAATTATTCATAAGTTACAGTGAAGCGAAGTTAATAAACTTTCTCCACTCAAAACGGTTGCAGCAATAATAAATCTAACTAGTTCATTCTCTGGAACAGGAAACACTGGGTAACTGAACAAAACGGGGACTAATACGGATAATTAAAGAACAAAATACTGGGATAACTCTTGGGGGGGGGGAACTAACTAGGGATAACTAAATAACCGAGGATAACTGAGAACAAGCTGGAATAGAACCCATTGGGAAAACAAGGGATGGTTAAATATAATTAAGATCAAGATAACTCTGGGATAACCGAACACACGAATGCTTGGAAAATTGTAAAAAAAAAAAAAAAAAAGCTCCCTGCACCACGGGAAAACAAGCTCCCTGCACCATGCATCCTGGGAAAAAGCTCCAAGAGATACACGAACATCAACATCATATGGGACACCGGCAAACATCAGGAAATCGTTTAGGAACGCAAATCAGGATT